GTGCTCCTATTTATCATCACTGCCATGCAGACCCTGCATGATTAGCTCTTTACAAGATGTATTTGGTCCAATGACATTTTCATTCAAATGTGTTACCCAATTTCTTTCCCCTCTGCGCCGAGCGTAAGTTGAAAATGCAGCCTCTTAGGTGGCCGCACTTCGTAACAGCGACAAGTGCATTACTTACCTCAGTGCTCACACAAGCAGAGTTTCTCTTGGGAAAAAAAAATACTTGTCATTCTTTTCGAGTGGCTCATTCTGTTTGCAGTACAGGCAGTAAACTGCTGGTGAGGAAATTAAATTCTGACAAACACTCTCTCTCTCAGCTGGCACACTAATTGAAATTGAGCCTAATGCCTTTGATGAAATGCAATCCGGGATGAGGCAGGACGCCAGCCTGCAGAAAAGGAAAGGCGGCCCCCGTCGACCTTCAACAAGTTGCCGACCAACTCGGCCGGCCAGGGAAACCGGGGGCAGCAGGCGAGGGGGCCGGAGAGTTTTCCAGGCCTGACAGACGACAGGTCTCGGTCGTGTGTTTATATGAAGTCACTGAAACCTGAGTCAAAATTAAAGCTAATTCACGATGATCCAGTTCTAGTCTAGACTTTATTTTTCAAAGAATAAATTCACAGGAAGAGAAAAGACAGAAGAGGGATTCTTGAGAGATTTCTACACCAGGGCGTGCTAAGCCTCCCGCCCTGTGGGAGGGGAGGAGCCAGGGATGTGATCGCCCTGCACAGCTGGAACCGCTGGGTCTGCAACGCTGGCCCTCCCTGCCACTGCGCCATCGAAGATCGTTTCCTGCACACGCCGTGACATGGAGAAGGCAGAGGGAAAACATGGCATAGAACTATCGCGGCAGACCCCTCTGTCACCCTAAGGACATGCAAGCACCTACATTTCCCGCCTTTTCTTTTTTTTTTTTAGTACTAGAGTTTTGTTCTAGTATATGTACTACTTGAAAACAAATAATCCACAAATCTAGAGTTCGGGTTCTGAAGAAGAGCCAAAAATGTATATATGAAGGTGTTTAATGTTGGGATTGCTGTGAAAAATGGAAAACATCTTGAAAGTAGTAACATAGATGAGTTATAATCTATACTATGAAATATCATGCAGCTCTTTAAAAAGGCACTTTCTGTATGATCCTAAAAAAGCATCATTTATACTATAAAGTGGGAAAAGCAGGGTACAAAATTGGATACAAAACACCAAGTTTGTAAACCAAATTTAGGTAGTACCCTCAGAAAATAAAATCAGATTATATGCACAAAAAGATAAATGTATTCATTTCAGGGTAATAGGATTATAATCCTGTACTTTTTCAAATTCTTTTAAACCAAAAACAATGTGAGATATAAAATAGCCAATTAGAAAAGATCTTTATTATATTCTAGAAATCTTAAGTAAAAGTGTCTGATGTGGCCATTTAATTTCTACTCTATATGCCTATAAATTCCATGTTTGGGAATATAGTATAGATGTCTTTTATGATTTAAAAATGGAAATATATAAATCATGTCAAAAAACTTTCTTCTTATACAGGTGAATGACAAACTGAAGAGACCGAGTTCCAATGTGTCTGGTGATGATCTGAGCACATGTGAACTGTGTACAGGAATGTCAGCACGAAAATTCTGAAGGGCTCCGTCGTGAGTCTACACAGTGTGTGGTTGGCCCGCGATTTAGCTATTGTGCATCACGCCCTGGATGCACAAATGCTGAGGTGCAGCCGTGGAGAGAAGCTGGTGTTTAGCCCCTTTTGGAGTTTATTTATCATTAGGTACAATGATTAATAAGGCACCTTTCAAAACTCATAATGCTTATGTTTAAATGTTTTAAACCATGAAGTGTTTAAATTATTTTGCTTAATAACAGAATGATCCCAGGATTATTAGAGGAACCAAGAAGAGAGATATCAATGTGCCTGGCAGTGTCTGGTATGTAGCAAAAAAGTTCAATGGAATAGTTGCTAGATGAAATACATCCGACGCATCACATACACCTTGTTTAATGCACGCAAGTGGCGTTCAGTACGTTCTTAATTTGCCACTGACTCTCATCAGCAGCTATGCAACCTCAGGATCATGTTATATGGTCTTCAAGTTACTCACGTCCAACGGTAGAAAGCTCTGTTGAAACAGGCCCCCTCTCAGTCCCAAGCAGGGGCCGTGCCCCCTATATCTCCCTGGACCTCTTTCCCCTCCACCCTCAGACGTCCCAAGGAGAAGAACCCAAAGATTCAAAGCTTCTCCTAATCTCTGTTAATAATCTGGCTATTAATCTGTGTTTTAATTACTAGCTAATTACAGCAGGCAAAATTCTACAGTGGGTCATTTTGGCTGTTCAAAGCACAGATTTCCTAGAGTTGCCGTCTGTTTCCATTAAGGAGTACTGTATTTCTGCCCAGTTTCCCCTCTTGAAAATCCAGAACAGGGAAAGTTGGAAAAAGTTAAACAGCAAGTAAGAGGTTGCTGTTTGCTCTAGGCCCCACACGACGGCATCTGAAGATGCACAGCCGAGGAGGTGAGAAGGAAGCAGACCTCGGAGCCTGCCGAGGAGCCCGCGGTGATTTGTTGTGCACTCCGCAAAGTGGGGGACCTGCGGGGCAAATGCCAGGCATCCGCTCATCTCAGTACGCAGCTCAACCCTAGACTCTTAGCGCTGTCCTGTGCAGACTCTGTGACAAGAGGCAAAGAGGAGGGACTAAAGTGCCCATAACCGAGAGTTGGGGACTTGGTGTGCCAACTTGAAGATATAGGCAACGACTCCCACGCAGGAAAAGGAAGGTCCCTCCTCCGGAGAAACTGAGCCTCTCCAAAGAAAAGCCCTGTAGGTCGCAGCAAAGATTTCCTAATAGCTGAACCATGTAGTAAGAGGCATTTTACAAATCCACAAGGGGCCATGCTTGTCTGCCGTCTTTTGACTTTCCGAACTCTTCTTCTGCCTGGGATGCTCCCTTCCCAGTCAACGGCAGTCTCCCTTGTCATCGTAAGGAGTTTATCCAAAGGCCGGCTAACCATGGAGGCCTGCTGCCTCCTCACCATTTTAATCTCCCGCCCCCCGCCCATCACACGCGTTCCTTCCCAAATATCATCTTTTCTCTTTAGTCCTCACTCCTGCTCTCCCCTGACCAGCCATGTAAAATTCAAGGTAGGGAATGTCTGTCTGTTCATGTAGAATAAATGATACATGGTAGGTGACTTAAAAATATTTGTGAATAAATTAATGTAATGGTCATTTTTAAAACGTAAGAAAGATTAAGGCAACTGTGTAAGAAAAAGATGCAAAGTAAATGTAAATAAACATCATATACTACTTAGCTCAACAGTGAATATTTATATCATGAGAACAATGAAAACACTAAATATGCATTAATCCAAAAACTGTGCTATAATAGGAGGCTAGCAAGAATAGCATAGGTTTTTCTAGGTTCTATGGTCTTCCTCCAACATCGAGAAAGTCAACATACAACTCCTAAAATTAGTGACTCAAAAAATAAACAATATATACACTTAAAAATATGTAAGAAAAAAAGGAAAAACAGCTTAAAGGGTGTGATTATATAGTGCATGAATTGGATGTTTTGTTGAACATCTCTTTGATGTTTAAACTACAGACACACACACACACACACAATTTGACAAAATAAAGAAGGCATTTTTCCAAAGGTCTAAGAATACTCGATTCTTTGTAATTCATACCAAAGTGGTGGCAGATACTGAATAACTATTTGTCAGATGGATGAATGGATTTGACTGTATAACTACACACAGAAAATAGCTTCTAGATTTCACGTTAAATAATACAAAATACAATAAAATGAGTTCTTTGAAAACAGAAAGATAAAATGCTTCACAAAGACTTTGTTTTTGATATAAATCATAGGTGAAAACCATAAAAAGCATTAATATTATGGTTAATAAGTAGTAATGAGATAAAAATGTATAAATAAGAACTTTAAGGTTTTAAAAAATGTTTATTATGAAAGAGTGCTGTTTACCTTTATACCTAGAATTCTGAACAGTGTCTCATAGTCACACACTGCAACCTAGTGGCTACATCTGTACGCATCGCCTGGTTTCGGCAATTGGAAAGAAGCTTCCCTTTTAAGCCTCGCAAAGCAATCCTATATCCATCCATTCTTCCTTCATCCATCCATCCATTTTTCTCAACTCATTAACTAAATCCTCAACAGGAGTATAAATGAAAGAAAAGCAGGCAGTAAAGCTAAAGTATTTTATTAATAATTTATTGTCAGTAAGAAAGCTTGGCTAATGGTAGTTTTCAGTAAAAACCTTTACAAGACCATTGCATCACAAATATACAGACACTATAAAAACTGTGTCGTGATGGTTTTGGTTCTAAACCGGTGTGCAGAAGGTCCCCATTACACTTTCCAATAATGAAAAATGTTTGCAATTCTAAAATACAGCAACCCATTTAAGACATGTCATGGATCAGATCTTTGTTCGTCCTATGTACAAGTAGAAATGAATGACTACATTGCATTGTATGAATGAAATGTCAAACTTCAGTGAGAAAGGACATACAGTGAAACCCTGGTTATATTAAAAGATCGAGGTGCTAGGTAATGACTCTAACACCACCCAAATTCGGTAAAAAAAAAAAAAAAAAAAAAAAAAAAGAAAAACCCATAAAATATCTTGAAAACAGAGTTAAAACTATGAAAAATCAAATCTGTACATAAAATTTACACAAAAAAAGGGACAGGAAATTTAAAATAATCAAATCTATATAAATACACGACTCATGCTAACAAGATGGTAGGACTGATTTTCGTTTCATTCTTTTAACGTGGACAAACGTAAATACAAAAACCTGTTCAGAAATGGCACAGCCACCGGACACCTCCTCCCAGGACAGTAGGTCAGGACACTGGAAATGGCTAACGCGCGGGAGGCGGGGGTGCGGGCCGCGCGCCCGCCGCTCACGGAGCGCAGCGCGGGCACTGCGGCCGCGCGACGCAGGTCGCCTCGACAATCTCTAGGTTCGCTAAGTCCAGGCACTTCGGGGGCAGTGGGGGCGTCAGACTTCCGTGTGCTGCTGCGAGTCTAGAGGAGGAATCGTCACCTCCTCGAAGTGGCCGTCGTCTCCGCTCTCATAGTCACTCATCATGACCTCGGACTCCACTTCGCAGCAGGCGGACACGTCGGAGCAGGACGCCGTGGAGGCGTACACGGCCAGGGGCACGCTCTCCGCGGCGGGCGCCTCGCAGTTCCTCGGGAACCCGGCGGGGTACGCCGCGTAGGGCTCTCTGCACGGGATGCTCTCGCCGGGGCCTGCTTTCTGAGGTTCGGACATGTCGACGGGATAGAAATTGGGCAGATACTGGTTCAAGTGGAACCGCTGCCGGCCTCTGGACGAGCCCAAACTGCCCGCAGCAGGCATGTCCCTGGGAGGGTGTATGGACTCGAACTGGTCACTGAACTCTGGAGGCAATGGTGGCAGCTCGTCAGGCGCAGGGAAGTCCTCTGGTGGGGGTGGGAAATCGCTTTCGATGTCGTAACCCCCGGGGTAATAGTCTGTGTCGATGGCATTGGGATCGGCGGAGTAGAGCGGCGTCTGCTCGTCGATAACCTCGTAGTTGGGGAATTCCTGTATATCTGGCAGAGGGACGCTTGGCATCCAATCCGATGTATCCCAGTGATAGCCTGGGTGGGAGAGAAAACGACAGGTTTCAGTGTGTTCTTCGCGGACTCTGTGCCCGCGAGCAAGGGCTCAGTGCACGGACCTCGAAGGTGCAAAGGCTGCGCACACACATTGAGGTTCATCATTGGGAAACCCCTGGTCTCCGCTTTGAAGGCTTCCCCCAACTCCAACCCAGCAGAGAGAAACTCAAGGAACAGGCTCGCTTGGTAAAAGGTGGACTTACAGTTTTATGTTAAGTGCCTAACATTCAAGGAAACAGAAGCAGTGTGGCTGGCATCGAACACATGCACTTTTCTACAAACGAGTCCAATTAATCCTTCGGCTTCCCTTCTGTAATGTAGAGCCTACTGCTCTATGTGAAGAGAATTAGCTCAGTCTGAGGACATCGGTAAAGAAGTTCTGTCTTTTCACAAAGACGTCGCCATGTAGAAAAATATCAAATGTCACTCGACCTCCACTACATGGCATTAAAAATACTCATTAATGCAACTCTTTAAAATAATAACCTTCAACATGCTAAAATTTAAAAAATAAGTTTTCTATATAATAATGATGTAGTAATAGAGAAGTATACTATTTTTCATTAGCCCTACAAAAACAACCAACTGTATTAATAGAGGTGTGCATCAAAGCATGCTTCCAAATCAAGCAAAATGCAATCCAACACCAAAACAGAACAGTATTGAGAGACTACGTGAATAAATTTTCGTTACTTTAAAAAAGTCTACAGGTCATTTTAGATGCAATAAAAGTATAATAATTTGGGGGAAAAAACCGTCCCACTGTGGGGACAGTTTTTTTCTCCCTTAGGATTTTGGAAATCCCTTGACAGAGAGAGAAAGGTGGGGTGATCGCGTTCAGAATGCAGGGCATGAACGAGGGTGCTTGGTTACGCGGCATCCACCGAGCGAACACGTGAGGCAAGTCAGCACTGGCGTCAAATCCTGACCAATTTTTTAGTGAGTATCAATGAACAACTGGCATGCATTAGTCACCTCTTGATTTGCTGAGGTCGGGAGCAGCCAAAGACTCTTTGGGTGGCAGAGTAGAGAGAAAAGAAAACATTCATAATTAAAACAGAAAGACGGCTGCAGAGGCAATAAAGGTAAGTTCATAATACAATGCAAACTGTATACAGAGGCCCAGTGGGCCATGGACCGTGCCTTTGAGCCTTTAGCTATGAACATTCCCGACGGCTGAGAAACTCATGGAGCACAGATGTGGCGGGGCATGAGAATGGAGAAAAAGGGGACTGAGGCTGGGCCAGCGACCTGGCCGGCAACGCACACATTATTTCCCTTTCTTTGTCTTGTTTCTGGCACTCTAAACCTGCAAACACAAAATTGTGTTACGAATAATTAAAAGATACAGGCTCTAATGAAATGTCCACTAATTGAAAAGTTTAAATTACACCTGCATGTTACTGAGGACTACTATGAAATACTTGTTTGCCTACTACCAGGTAGCATCGGGTTACTTAGGTGATAACCCAAATACGTCTAAAGCCACATAATAGATACTTAATAAAAATATTACAGCTTTCGAAATGGATACTAAACTCAGAGACATTCAAGAACTTACTTATGAGTAATAAAGTAAATTTCTCCAAACCTCCCCCTGTTGAGCACTAGCTATTATTCCCATTGTTCACCTCCCCTTGGAAGGACCACACGCTACACTGGTCCTCACTCATGCTGCCCAAACCTGCGATTCCTCCTGCCTCTGCCCGATCTCCCCTTACACACAGAACCCCCGCCCGAGAGCGAGCAGATGCCAATCACAGACCCCGGGGCAGGCTGCTCACCCCGGCTAAGCGTCAGGCTCTCATCTCTGAAATGAGGGTGGAAATCCCTTAGAGTCCTTATGAGGATTAAGTACGATGCTGTGGGTCAAGCTCTCACTGTTGGCTATCACCGTGATTCTTCTAAATGCTTTCTAGGTCCTTAAAAATCCATGTAATAAAGTAACTTGCAACAAATAAGATTTGACTGATGGCTCTCTTCTCGGAATTTAAATCAAAAGCTGGAAACACTGTTGTGATTCGCAAGAATAAATAAGCCCCTATTTAGTTAACATGTATCTATCGAAGTTTTTAAGAAATGCAGTAATTCCTTTTTAAAGAGGACTGACAACCTTCATTAGTAGGCACTCAATAATTCTTAACATTTAAGCTGGTTTTCCATTTTACATTCAGTTTATATTTCTAAATATGTCAAACAACATTTTTCAATAAAGGAGGTTGCACTGCAACAACCATTTCGATTCTGCTTTTTAAAACTCCATTAATATTAAAAATACTAGAATTTCATTGTGTTAAAACTAAAATTCTCTAGGACAAAATGCAGATTACTTTCTGGTTCACCAAGCAAAAAAACAGTGTTTCTCAGGAAAATAAGTGAAAACCTCATCAGGAACTGATCGACAGCACTGAAACCTCACGGCTGCCCCACGCTACCAAATTTGGCACAAAACCATCCTTTCTCTCCCCTCAATCCTGACAGTAAATGTGTCCTAGCACAACAGGTCCTCTACACTGTACGTACTCTCGGTGGTCTATGCTGCTGGTTCTCAAAGTATGATCGAGACCAGTGACATGAGAATTAACGGGTAACCTGTCAGAAATGCAAATTCTGAGGGTCACCCCAGACTTGCTCAGTCAGAAGCTGGGCTGAGAGCCAGCCGCTGGAGTGGCCGGTCACATGCCCTCCCGGCCTCCTGACTTAACGTATAAAAACTACAGGCTCTGCAACTCGCACGCGACCTTCTCAGCTTCAACACCCTGAGAACGGGCTAATTCAACTTAAAATAATTTGGGGGGGGTGGTGGTCACTGCCCTTCCTTATAAGTTGGACAGACACATGACGACAATCTACCTTCTGCGTTGTTCAACTATTTTCCTTGATCACACATGGGGAAAATCCAAAAGTGAAGAGTCAGCTATGGGAAATTACAGAAACTGTGTGTTATTCAGTCTTAGTCCTATTCAGGTGAACAGGAATTTTTTATATGAAATCTTTTTTTCCCAGATAATAAGAATTACTGTTAAGCTTCTTAATATTGTACCATATACAGGCAAGTTGTCAGGATCCTTTGGGTTCCTTCTGACATTGCAGAAACTCACCACGAATGACAAAAGGTGACAAAAGGACACAACATAGACAGAAATATTTTTGCAATGGATCTGGATTGTGAACATAGACATCTGCACAAAATAAAGGTGCTCAAGCCCACACGTGACTGTCTGGAACACCACAAGGGGCAAAAGCACACTACACACCGCTCTAGCGACAGTCACCGCAACACAGACACAGAGCACACGCATCGCCACTGTACCTTCGTGGGTCACCGTGTCAACTACGGCATTGACAAGGTGCATGACAGTCACTAGGGAAGCTTGCAAAAAGGTACAAAGGGGGTAAATTAGGGAAACCTTCATTAGAATGCAGCATATGAAACAGGGTTTCTTTACATAATTTCTACCTCATAACTTTAAAATGTGAAGCAAATGGTTTAGCGTAACTATTGTACATAACATAATCATGCGTGATGCTTGCACTTTGTTAGCCTTTTCGAGTCTAGCTATAACTTGTTATTCTTTTTTATTATTTATTTTTATTATTATATATTTGTTATTATTAATCAAAGGAATAGAGTGACCATATTATATTATAATTTAGGAAACATTTTAGCTATACATTTTTTCAGAACTATAATTATGGATCAAATCATAACAAAAGAACTCTCATGGGCAAAAGACTCCGCATTCAAAGAGTAAAATAACTGTTAGGACAATTTTCTGGGTCCATTTAATGAAATCATACATTATTCCAGGAAAAAGAAAGGTAAAGAGCTACATATTAAGGTAAAATATGCAATAAATCAAAAAGGGTCAGGGGGCTTTTTGTCTGTTTTATGTACTCCCTGCCCACATTTCTTGTCTTTCTGGAGATGAGTTAACCGCTGGGAAGCTAGCACACCAGCAGAAATACGCAGCCGCCTGCCTGGCTGTTTCCAGGGGCAGTTCCTCGTCACCTGTACTTCAGGTGGTTTCAGAGCATTTATGCCAAGGTAAGTAAGCGCGCGGGGAGGGGGGACGGTGGGGGGTTGGAAAGGGCAGCTCTCAGAGGTAGCCACACCCCGACCCTGGGAACCAGAGGTTATGTTACCATCCCCAGCAAAGAGGCTCTGTGGGTTTGGTTACGTGCAAGATCTTGTGATGGGGAGAGTTTCCTGAATGATCTGTGGGCCCAGTGTAATCATAAGGGTCCTACAAAGGGGAGGACCTTTCCCATCTGTACTCGGAGAGAGAAGTGGCCACAGGAGAATGGCCAGGGAGCAGCAGTGTCGCTGCATTGCTGTCTTTGAAAGGCGGAGGGAGAAGGCACAGCCCCAGAGTGTGGGCGGTCTTGAGAAACTGGAAATGGGAAGAACAAACCCCGGATCCTCCGGAAAGGAAACAGCCCCGCCGGCCCGCCACGTGAGCCTACTGAGACAAACGTTAGCGTTCTACACCTCCGACCTGTAAGATAATGCACGTATCTTGTTTTCAGCCACTCTGTTTGTGGTGATCTGTTACAACAGCCTTAGAAAACTAAGAATATGGTTTAAGTACAGACTCTTAATAAAGACTTAAATTTATCATTGATAATGATAAAAATTATGAGAAAGATTAAAATACAAACTCCTGGATACACCTTTTTTCCGCCTTGTATCATAGTACCTGGCAATTAATTTTTATAACTAATTTGGCCATAATTTCTTAAAATTATTTAGGAGTTTTAAAAAGAATGATGCTCCAAGGAAAAGAATTAGAAAATACAAAAAATTCTGAAATGTATTTAAAGAGAGCATTTAGGGATCAAAATAGAAACTATTACATCAACTGGCAACTATAACATTTTAGAATTAAACCTAATGAAAAATAATTCAGTCCTGCTGTTGTTGGTTTAAAGCTACGTTCATATACTGCATCAGTAAATAATAAACACAGGTACTCTTTGAAATCATACATAACATGCTTGAAATCAGAAATGAATGGAACATACTTATAGCCATGTTTAGTTTGGAAGAATTTAGTCTGCAACACAGTATGGGCTCTATCACTCCAGATTTAGAAACAAATAATTATTAGTGGGTTATTTCCTTCCACCAATAAAATATTTGAAAGATTTAAATATATTTTTATGCAAAGAAAAATTATACAGTCAGTGTTACTAATTCTGAGGTTTGAAAACTGCCACTAAAAACTCACTTCGCGGCGTTAATGAACACCGACAATTTTCTCCTGCGGTGTGCGTCTCTGTGGTGAAGCTGGTTATCTACGCAACGCACACCGGGGAAATCAGACACACGACCGGCACCGCAGACCCCACTGTCACATGTCACAGTTGCTTCATTAGAAAGATAAGCAAACTTACTAGCAATCTCTTAAACTGCGCTCTCAGTCAGTACGCTCTGATCCAAATGGGAGCTGGGGCCGCAGGGAGTAGGGAAGAAACAGATAAAACCTTGTAATACCGAAGGTGCTACTGAAGTGACCACCGCAGGCGACCCCGCCTCCTCTTAGGGGTGTGTCAGAAGGTGGGGGTGAACGAGTGAGTGTTGTGTCATCAAGAAAGCTGTTAGTAGGATTTTTTAAAAAAACCTACAGAACTTCTAACATTTTCTGTTATGCAAAAAAGCCAATATGAGATTGGCCAACAAGGTAAAAATGATCTTTTGAGTACTTATTACTTTCTTCCCTATTACTGGTAAGTTGCTACAGTTCAAATATGAATTACAAACATCTTAAATATTTTCCCCAGCAGATGTTCATGCAAGTATTTACAAGGTATTGTTTAACCGTGGCCCGAAGTGAACTATGGAAACATTCTGAGACTTAACAAAGGTACTGGGTGCACTACATCCTGGGATCAGCATTATGGACAATACAGAGGCGACCTCAGCGGCTCCCCGTCCCGCTCGCTCACCATTGTCATCGCACGACTCGGACTGGAAGGAGCTGAGGGACTGCACTTCGGACAGGCTCTCCCGGGCGCTGTACGGCTGGGAAGGCTTCTCCTCCAGAGGCTTCTTGGAGAGACAGGGGTCAAGATCCACGACTTTAGCTGAAGGGAGGAAACGACAAACGGGAAGCTCGGTGAGGGCTCGGCGGGCACTGGGCTCACTGCTGTGTCCTGGCCCCTAGCAAGTGTTACCACGGCCGTCTCAGACTCATTTAGTGGAAGAATAATTGATAGAAAGAGAAATGCTTGAAAAACAAAACAAAATGAAACAAAAAACTCCAGAAAACCCGAACAAAAATAACTATACCATTCCTGCTCATTCACAGAACAGAAATCCTCAATACGCCTGTCCTTGGATGTCACTAAGACAATGTGGGGAAATAAACTTTTGTTTTAAAATGGTACACAGAGCTTTTTTTAAAGCACCAAATATATGTTAGGCCACAATATAAATACAGGGGTGAGTACAATTAGGTTGACACTCATGAGTGACATTCTTCTGAATAAAGCTATGGTAATAATCATAACCTGCTTGTCCTCTTCCATACGATCTGTAAACCCGCTGTTGCCACCCGGTATTGAACCTTCTTTTAGCCCTGTTTTTAAAAAGTCCTATTATACAAAAGCCCTCCCGACTGTTTTAATTATAAAAGCTTCCTCCTCCTCCTCAAATTACAGTTGTAAACCCCTATCATACAAAAATGATCTTTCCAGATTCATTGGAACGTGACCAGATTCAATTCCTTAATTAAAATAATATTATAACCACAATGCTCAGCCAGGATTCAAGGCACTGGTCAAAGTTTTTCAGATAATCCCAGGGCCTCTGGAGCATATTTATCACTAACAACGACTCTAACATTTGGACCCGCAACGCCAGAGCCTCTGGTGGGCGATTCCTCTCAGGGACATTTAATTGAGATGGAAAAAGGGGTTCTTACTATCATAGTCGAAATCCCAGCTGGGCTTCTGGATGGAGTCACTGTCAGAAGGAGAGTTGGAAGGTGGCGGCGGTGGCAAGTTTGGGGCCACACTGCAGACAGCCACTGCCTTCCGGTGTCCGTGCACAGACTCGGGGTTAAAGGTGCTGAACTCGGGGTGCTCTGGGATAGCAGATCCTTCGAAGGAATTTCGGTCCAGATTGTTCCTGGAGTCACTTGGAATGCTCGGAGTGTAGGAAATAGGACGGACAGGCACCTGGGGCGGTATGTCTGAGTAAATGTTTTTATTTAGTTTTGAATCAAAATACGGTCTTTGCATGAAAGCTGTGGTTGGTCCCACGTGCTTGTCTCCCGGTTCGGCCTGGTGTTTCTGCTTCTTCTTCCGACTGACCATCTTGCGGCAGAGGACGAACACCACCACCAGCAAGAATATCCCAATGATGAAAACGATGATGCCGATTCCTTCGGCCAGCCCGATGTTCCACGGCGTCGACACGTACTGGTTGGGGGCCGCGTCCTCACAGTGTCTGCCTCGGTACTCGTGGCTGCAGTTGCAGTGATAGGAGCCGTGTGTGTTCTCACAAAGGGCCCCGTTACGGCAGGGGTTCGCAGCACATTCGTCGATGTCACTCTGACACCTGCCAAGGGAGCCGAGAATGAGGAGAGGCCTTGGCAATGGAGGCCAGAATGTGTCAGGCTGATAATGCTTAGAGACAAAAGACTACCAACCCAATCCCTTCTGAGCAACATTTCAAAGCAAAGTCAAATACAGAACAACCAGAAACACATTATCCACAATGATAAGTACAACCGAAAAAACACCTTTTGTGGCGTAATTAATCATTTGTTTTCGTATTTGGAATGTGTATTTGGGAGAGAAACATGAGGCCAAGCCAATATTTAACTGCTATTTTTCTAGGATTCAACAAATTACTGATTCAACAAATGGTTAAACATTAGTTTATGTATAATTCTGATCCAGAAATTTATAATATACGTTTTGATAAATGGCACGCTGTAAACTGTTCTAACAGGCTAGATTAAATTTCTAAAAAAAATCCTCCTATAGGGAACCCGGACAGTTCCATAAAACACGTAGAAGGCTAAAACGCTGTTTTCCACTTTCAAATGCTTTTCCCTACTGAAATCCTCCCATATCCCCTCACCCTTACAGAATGGCTCATGTGCAAGTCCCTCCCCTCTGCCTTTCCAGGTGGGCATGTTTTGCACCTGTGCAGATCTACCTGACACTTCTCTGCCCCTTCCTCCCTTAACGAAAGGCTTCTACTCCCACCACTCCATATTGACCTAGCATTACAATTTTGATAACTGAGACATTATAGTATATTAAGTATTAATGGATTAGAATTAGGAAAGTCAACTTATAAACTAAGACCACGTGACTGGTGGAAAAATTCAAGACTACAACCACGACTTCTAAGAGCAAAGCCACACGGGCAGGTTGCACTTAGAGCTTCCCAACAAAACTGATGGTCAGGGCTCACCTAATGCCCAGCCCTAGGCAGTTAGGAAGAGCATTCATTGAGGAGTTTTCTAAACTGAACTGGTACAAAGTCGAGGGTGAAATGGCACCTGGAACAAATGCCACTTCTTTCAAGGTGTACAGAAGGCACCGCTGTGCCTTACTTTTCTCTCCTGGAAAATAACGGTCCCGTCTTAGGATTACGGGAAGGGCTACAAAAGACAGTGAGAGAGCAGGAAACGGTTTCTAGATGCTGTTGAAGTGTTAGTTACAGCACATTATGAGAAAATGCCACTCTCAGCGCTCTCAAAGAAAGCACGCCACAGATGTCTGCTTTAAAAACATAATACTCTCACTCGTTCCACAAACATTTACTTCCTGCAAAAGCCCACACATTCTCTGTTGATACATAAAATCTTAAAAGCTCAGTCGGTTTTTCTAAGCATTATTATATTCATCTGCTCAACTTTTTTTTTTATTTCAAAGACTGAGAAGATAAATTGTATAAGGAGCTCACATGAGGATTATCAAATTCCAAAGCAACATTGTCCAAATTAATAAAGTTTGGTTGCATCTGTTAACTGGTGTGACGTTATAGAGAGGGTGGAAATAGAGAAAGGAAAGACGTCAGTCACCTTTCTCCTCTGAAACCGGCATCGCACTGACAGACAGCACCGTCCAAACTGTCAAAGCACGTCCCGCCGTTTTTGCAGGGCTCATCCTTGCAGTACGGGCTAAGCTGGCACCTGAGGAACAGGAAAAAATGGGCATGGGCCTAATATTTCTACTGCAAATAAATACAGCGAAACAGAAAATGTTAACAACTGAATGCAGATGCTGTACATACATCGTAACTTAAAGAAACTTTTTAAATGCTATAGCGAATCATGAAAGTTGAGAAAACCACGCATACCTCTGACCAGTATACAAGCCCCTGCACTGGCAAACGAAGTCTCCGTTGTCCACGATGCAGGTGCCGCCGTAAAGGCAGGGGTTGGAGGAGCACGGGCTGACGCTCACCTCACAGTACGCCCCTAGGTGCAAGGCGCTGCATTTGCAGTAATACCCTGGATTATCGAAAGAGAACAAAACAGGGCTATCACTGGATAACTCAGAACGGAAGTATGAGGAAGTCGGTTTTTACTTTTAAGTGTGGGTGAAGGCTGAGTGCTGCTCTAAGCTAGTAACATCCCCGTCCCTCCAGGTCACACGCTGTCTCTATCAACCAGCCACTGCTGGCGTAACCAAAACACAGAGAGCTCATGCCAGACCTTGTAATTAGCTTCAGTTCGTCACAACTGATGTGAGGTTACTGGGCCCAGCGCACAGAACAGGGAGGAAGTGGTCCTTTATCTCAGTGGCCGTTAGAGAGGCAACATTTACTATTTAACAGCTCAATTTATTTGCAGCTCACAAGCTTTTAAGAATTAAACGGGATAGTAATAATCAATGGAAAAGCACTTCAAAAACTAGGAACTACCATTTTAAGAGAGACGATCTTCAAATTTGTATAAAGAAGCAAAAAAACTTGGATTCTTCACTGTGTGAAGCCTGTGACAGCGTGGTACTCTGCAGACCACTCCCAATGACCCATCTTTGGGGAAGGCCGGACGGTGCTTCCCCCACCGCCTCTGATGTTGGCCACGGCTGTGGGACTTTCTTCGGCCAAAGAAATGTGGCACTTGGAGCACAGAGCTTTAGGAGCCACTCTGTGGCCTCTGTGTTCCCGTCCTCCTGCTGCTTGGACAGGGATTTCAAGATGAGTCCTCTCTCGGTCCCATCTCTGATGAAACAATGAGGACAGCCTCCTTGAGCAAGTAATAGGAGCACGATATAAACTTTTGTTTAGAGCATTACTGTGGGGATAAGCTGGCCTACTCTCTGCATACAGGAAACAGGAAACCGAGTCTTCTGAAAGCTCACTTAATTCAAGGGTTATTCTGATTTCTGCTCTATTCATGACGCCAAGCTCCACTTATTCCAGGATGACGGGGGTCGTTTTTGGAACATGCTGTTACCGATGCGTGGGCACATGGGTCCAGGACGCAGAAGCCAGAGCATCCTCCACTATGCTAGGGCTTTGAGACAGGTGTGGTGACCCCTCGGAAGGGGCTAAGGCCATCAGGAAAACCAATACCCCCATCTACAGCTAGCGAGACCAGCAGTTCCTCTGGGCTAGGCTGTCGGATAAAAGGGGGCACTCAGAAAGAACTACGTGGCACCAATTCTAAATGCCGCTGGTCAAAACATCTGCGCTTGGACGAGGACTTCGCTGTGGTTGGCCCACGGTTACTGTGAAGAACGAGACAGACGTGAGAGCAGAGCTCGGCCCGGGGGCTGAAAAGAGCTCTAAGCCCCGCTCTGCTCTCCTGTTTGCAACTCGTGCTACTCCATGCCACCACGGGTGCCCTGTCTGACGATACGATTTGAATAAAAAGAAGAAACAGAGAAACACTTGGGGACCTTCCTCGCAAGTGCACCAACGTAACATTCACGGGAATGACGACGTCGCAAAGCCTACCTCCGGCAGGCGAGGGGGTGCAGACGCCTCCGTTCTGGCAGGGGTTGCTGGAGCAGTCCTCTGCGCCTGTCAGGGAGCAGCCTGGGGACACGCCCACCCACTCTTCGATGTGGGCATAGCTTCTTGGTTTGTTATTTAAGGGGAGCTCCTGCCCATTCAGATAAATGGAGTCCATGCAACCCCTGAAACCATTTCCAACTTGGGGGCTTCTTCCATGCCGCGTGCCTTGCTGCCGGACGTGGCCACCAAAGAACACGTGGTTATCCAGGTTTAAGGTTTTCAGAGTCCCCGGGGCCGTGCCTGACGCAGTGTGCACTTGGTCGAGGACAAGTCTGGCGTAGTTGCCGTGCACTTCAAGGGACACTGCGTGCCACAGCCCGTCATTGACCTGAATGCTCTGAACAGACACAATGCCAGGGCCGCTTCCACAGTCAAACTTGTACTGCAGTCTTCCGTTATGGATCTACGGCAGAAACAGTTACGGATCACGTTAGTCTCGTAGGCTACGGACTTGGAGTACAGTCTCTGACCAAAAACTGTAAGGAGAGGTATGTTTGGCAACTGAAGGCAGAAAGTCAGTAAGGCCTTGCATTTAAGTGCCACAGATCATAAGCTCGTTTTGTTCACGGTACAAATCATAATGGATCTCTGAGGCTATAAAGTTCAAATGCCAACTGCACATCCAAAAAGCATCTGGAAGTGACTAATAATTATTAACTGAACAACAACCAAAAATAGCATCGAGTACATCAACAGTCAAAAGTTAATCACGCCTAAAAAAACAGAAAGAAAGGCAAGATAATTATCACTTCAAACTTATGTGGGAACTCTCTATAAAGTTAAGAAGATGTAGTATTCACAGAGTTTGAATGTTAACTGTCACATGGACTTAAAAATGTTTGTAACAAGAGTAAATCTCTACGTAGCAGAAAAAGCTCACCCCACAGTCCAACGCCTGTATAGATATCAATAACTAGTTACGTGAGGAATTCAACCATTTTTTTTTATTTTTTCAAAAAACGGTCAATCTGAACATAAAGTAGAATGAACATTTTTAAAGTCTTCCCCGACGCGGGGCACAGACGCGTACCTCCAGGATGCTGTAGTCGGTGCCCCGTGCGTACATCACCACGGCGTGAGCGGAGTACGTGCGGAGCCTCAGGGTCAGTTTCATCTCTAATTTGTTTTCATTTTCCTTCAGACGATATTTCACAAAGCTGTTTCCAGTAAACGTTACAGATGAGCTCCCTGTGAATCAGCAAGGAAAAAATGAATCACAACCAAGTTTAAGCGTATTTTTAAAAGTGTGATTTCATCCCCCCCAGAGGCTGACCTAAGTTTTTATTTAAGATTAGAGTATTATGCGATTCAATTCAATGGGAAATGTCTAGCTGCTTAATAAACAGCATAGTATAACTGGTTCTCCTTTTGGAAGAGAATTAAACTACTGTATCATGGAGAAATAAATTCTAAAACAATGAAAAAGCTAGCAATAAAAACACGTTCAATGTAAAATTACTGCAAGGCACGTTAGGAAAATATTTACATGTCCTCAAGGTGGTTGGGGAAACCTTCTGAAACAAGATATAAAACAATCTGGTTCTTTCAAATGATGAGAAGAGTATCAGTTTCCAGAGGTGGAAACCGTTATGTAAAATTATGCACAACCGACAAAATGGAATTTAAATTCAAAAATAAAAAAAGATGCTATTCAATCAAAAGATTAATATACACAATCCAATTAAAAAATGGGCAAAAGACCTGAATAGACACTTCTCCACAGAGGACATACAGATGACCAAAAGACATACGAAAAGATGTTCGATGTCACTAATCATCAGAGAAATGCAAATTAAAACCACAATGAGATACCACCTTACACCTGTCCGAATGGCTATCATCAACATATCAACAAACAACATGTGCTGGCGAGGGTGTGAAGAAAAGGAAACTCTCATGCACTGTTGGTGGGAACGCAGACTGGTGTAGCCACTGTGGAAAGCAGTATGGAGGTACCTCAAAAAATTAACAGTGGAATTGCCTTATGATCCAGCAATTTCACTTCTGGAAATTTATGTGAAGAAACCAAAAACAACCCTATGCTCATTGCAACATTATTTACAATAGACAAGATCTGGAAGCAGCCCAAATGTCCATCAGTAGATGAGTGGATAAAACAACTATGGGACATTAACACAATGGAATACTACTCAGCTATAAAAAAAGAAAAAATTTTACCCTTGCAACAGCATGGATGGACCTAGAGAACAGTATGCTAAGTCTAATAAGCCAGTCAGAAAAAGACAATTACTGTATGCTTTCACTCATGTGTGGGATCTAATGAACAATGTGAACTAACAAGCAAAATAGAGACAGACACAGAGAGCAGACTGTCTGCTCTGGGAGGCAGGGTGGAGGATCGAGAAAAAAATTTTTAAAAAAAGAGAGAAAGAACTCACGGGCATGGACAATGATGTGGTGACTACAGGAGAAGGTGGGTAGGTGGAGGTTGAGGAGGGTATGGGGGAGAGCTGACAATACAAAAGTACAATGAAAAATGTTTTTAAAAATTAAAAAAAATCAATATCCAGACAGCAGAATGCAGATGATGTTCACACTGTAATTGAGAAAGAGCTCACCCATGAAACTAAGAGAGACACAAAATAACCCAGACAATCAAGCGAAGAATATGAACAGGCACGTCACTGAAGGAAGAATGCCAACAGGTGGTGGGTGAATGAACAGGTAACTTTCATAAGTTGTCAGAGAAATGTGAAGTTAAAATAACTAGATAATCATTTCATGCCCATTGGAAGGGGGTATTTATTTTTCAATTGAAAACCTTCGATATTGGCAAGAGAATGGGGGAATGAGACCTTCACACATGACTGGGAGAAACAGGAGCTGGTGTAACTTTTTGGAAAACTAACTTAATGGTCTATTTCAAAATAAAAAGTGTAGTTAATCTTTGACCTGGTTAAGTCCTAGTTTTAGAAATGGAAGCACCAATATGTAAGGATACCTACACAAGGAATTTTTTTTTTTAGCAGAAGGAAGCATTTCAACAACCTGAACCTCTATACATAAAGAAAATGTTGAATCAATGATAGTACACAGCCAGGCTAGAAAACACTACACAGCTACGAAGAAGAATTAGGTTCACTTGTATTAACTTGCAAAGATGCCCATAAGCAAGCGGTAGAGGACTGTGAGATACAGCTTTATAGTTGCTTTTTTAAAAGGAGAGGACGTGAGAAAATAAGGACAGTAAATCTGTATATTGGGGCCTATTATGTTAATACGAACCCTGATGATAGAGGGGAACATATCAAACTATCAATTCGGGTGAGCTGTCATATATCAGAAAGGAAACACTACCATTGTTACACTTTATTCATCTCTATGTTTGACGTGCTATAATAAACAAAATTTTACCATACATTTCAACTCCATTAAAGAGGAAGATGATAAGAAACACTGAAAGGGACTTTTTAAAATAAAAACATTCCAAATCATTGGACTCTCACCTGGGCACTGGCCGAACTTGCCACCTGGACAGACACAGGTGTATTTCTCCTCTCTGGGATCAGCGACACATTCTGATCCCTCAGGGCATGGGCTGTCTTCACATCCATGATGGATGAGTGGGCATGTTCCTTCTTCAAAGAAAAAAAAAGAGAGAGAAGGAGAGAACAGGAGGAAGAGCCAATTAATAGAAATTTAAAGAGAAAGACCTTTAATATGTAGCCTTAAAGGATTGCAATGACTTCACGTCTACCCTCTACTTTCGTATCCTTATGGGTGTTACCTTTGCAGAGACACACAGCTGTCCTTCGGTGGCGGGGAGTCACAAAACTCAGTCTGGCCGTGCTGTGTGTGGACATCACATTTTCATCCACAGACACCTTCTCGTCGCAGAATTTCCGTGGGCAGTCCAGTCCCGCACAGAGCTTCTGGAACACATCCAGGATCCTAACACCAATGATCTCCTCGATATCAGTCACGGAAGCATTGATCTTGTGCAGAAGCTGTCTTGTTGACACCTGGGCGCTCCCTGATCTCTCTACAAAAAGTAGGACCTCCAGGTGGGGGTGCGGCTCAGCGGGCTGCAAGCTCACCATCTGTATGTCACTCCTCCTCACACCCAAGACGTTCCGCAGCGCACGCTGGAAGTTGCGCCAGTAGTCCCCAACAAACTCTTCCGGGGTGAGGTTGGCAAAGCGGATGGCGACGGTGTGGTTCAGCATCTCCTGTGTTACTTGTCGGACATGCACTGTGATGTCAGCCACCGTTGTGAATTTCCCATCCGTCACGCTGACATTGAGCAGGTACTGCCCTAGGTCTAGCTTTTTGTGGGCGATCAGCTTCCCCCCTGTGCTGGAAACAGAGAAGAGGCTGTCCATGTGGGGATCCAGACTGTAGGTTAGAGTGTCATACACATCCTGGTCTGTTGCGTGAATCTTCCCAATGACGCCGCCTGAGTATTCCTCTCCAAAAGCAGTAATGAAAACCTCCAGGGGCAGGATGGCTGGAGGGTGGATGCTCTCTTCAATGACCCTGATGTCAACGTAAGTCAAAGATGACAACTGAGGCTTTCCGTTGTCGGCCACCTAGGAGAAAAGGGAAAAAAAGTCACCACTATGTCATTGTTAACAACTCCTTAATAAAAACATATTCACACTGTTTATGTTCTTAAAAATCACCAATTACTAGATACTTATTTCTCCACACTAAAGCATATTCTTTTTAGCCTTTTAATTAATTCATATTGAAGTTTAGCTCCGCGATAAAGTAACTAAATGAATCAATGAGCCCCTAAAAGTACAGTGGAAGAGAACTGAAGGCATAGCAGAAAACTAAAAAGACAAAATAATTCTATACATTTTTTTGTTTTCTCACGAAATGTAAGCTATTTACGTACAAGAAGACAGCCACCAAAGCAACTCTTTTCTATGAATCCACAATAGAATCACAAAGAAAGACAGCAATACCTTCACACGCAGCAAGTAATGATCTTTCACTTTCCTGTCTACGGCAGCTGACGTCAGGAGGACCCCTTGCTGGTTAACTTCAAATGCGCTGTCATCATTTCCACTCTCAATAGTGAAGAAGAAGGGGGGACCGTTGTGAGAAGAATCCTTGTCTGTTACTACCAGCTGTAGTACACTGAAACCCACAGGCTTATTTTCCTGCACAGCATAAAACAAAAACAAAAAGAAATGCGCACAACTCTCAGCAAAACCAAATCTTCATGGTGAGAGACACATGCAAGTTGTCTCTAATGTGAAATATATGGGATACAAAGCCTTGTTGCTGCTCCATTTGGAAGGAAGAGAAGAAGGGCAGGTTGTGATGAGAGGGGAAATGAGGGAGGAGGCGTGAGAGGGGAGGGCGCTTGTGTGGGAAGGGGTGGAAGAGGCGGAAAGATAAAGGGACGTGGAAGCGGGCGGAATGGAAGGAGGGGTGTTTGAAGGAGGAGTGGGAAGGAGGAGGAAGGTCAAGGAGAGAAAGGAGGAGAAGCAGGGACAGAAGGTAAGAATCACGGTCGTGAGAGTACCTTAAACACAAAAGCAAAAAAGAAGAGATATAAAAGCTTGGTTGCGTCTTGAAAATGCTCATCTTTTAGCATTGATGAAGACCCCTCTAATTTGCTCTTCCAATTTTTTTTACAATGTAATCTTTGGAAAAGAAAGACATGCCAGACGAATACCTGAGGCCAACGAAAGAGTTCATTTCCAAAGGACTGCATTCTGTGGGCCCTCGGCACCCCAGCCTCACCTGGATAATTACGCTGTAGTTTTCCTTGGCGAAGACCGGTGCATTGTCATTGACATCAGACACATCGATGTTCACCGTGGTTGTATTGACTCTGGGTGGCCTGCCGTTGTCAGATGCCTGCACTGTGAGTGTGTAGCCGGAAATCTTTTCAAGGACAAGACAAAGAGAATGCATGATCATTTTCACAAGGCCAAACATGGGGTTTATTCAGAAATGTACTCCTGACAACCTAGGAGGGCAGATCTGAATACCTGTCATCGTCTGCTGTGTCCTGGATGGGGGCAATTCCCCAACCTACACAAGGACACTGCCAGTAATGGGCCCCCAGATGGACTGTATTTGCTCAACCAAAAAAAGACACCAAGAGTTGGTTAGTTTCTCTGATGCCTCTCAAATAGGTACTCCTTCTGTTTAAGTGTCCCAACTTGAAAACCTTATGGATCTATTAACAAAAATTTAGACACAATTCATATGATAGGAAAAAAAAAAAAGTTAACATATCTCACAGGCTGTAATGACAAGGAAGGCGACCTTCCCTGATGTTACTTTCTGCCGGAAGGAGACAGCTGGTAAGCTGTTTCCCGCCCTTGAATGCTTACTGATTTTCAGCACCTCTCCCACCAACTTTACAGTATCAGTCAGGCAGTAACTCAAACAGCAGACGGTTCTGATGAGGAACTAGCCTGGGAGATACTACAGGCCACCTTGTCTGCTACTTTGTGATGGACGTTATTAGTTTATTAAAGGACCTGAGAAATTCTTCAGCGAAAAACACTAAAGTTTGTTCTGCCCAGCAGCACGGCAATCCTAAACATAAAAGCTGTGCTTCCTGAACTCTTGTCAGATCCCCACTCAAAAATAACAGGTCACCACGAATTCGTCCCCCTTCACCCTCTTCTATCCCTTCCCCTCGGGGAACCACAGGATTGTTGTCTGTGTCTATCAGTTTTTGTCTGTATGTTTGTCTTGTTTGTTCATTAGTTACTTTGTTTTATATTCCAGTAAACTTAATAAAATTAAAAAAAAAAAATCAGATCAGAAGAGGAACTAAAGAATTGAGACTTTAATGAGATATCTCATCACTATCTCCCACGGCCTCTAATCTCAGATTTACCCACTATTCCTCTGAAATTGCCTTCTTTATCATCACTAATGTCGTTCTAGGTCCCCACACCAAGACTTCCTCCCCTTCTCCACCTCTGAGGCAGCTCTACGTGTGAGTGTGTGAGTGCGTGAGTGAGTGAGTGGGTGGATGGATGTAGAGGGAGGAATGAATGGATGGACAGGCAGATGTTCAGCCTGGCTTGCCTGTCCTCATATGCTCACATTTACCTCAACACTTCAGATCACTTCTATAATCATCCCCAATGGCCTATGCCATACATATTTCCAGCTTTCAAGTCTCAAGTTTGACTAAAATCTCCAGATAATGGCTGAAATAATTTTACTCCAATATGCAATCTCCCTCTAAAAATCAGTGTGTCAAAACCCACGTTCAACAACCTGTCCCCATGCTGAGTTTGTACCCGCATGACCTTCCTGCTCTTCTTCGATGGCACCACGAGCCACAGCAAGACCGGAGAAAACACAGTCACCCGCAACACCGCTTTCGATGGGGTGCTGCACCTGGGCTCTGGATTCTAACTCTTCCTTTACAAAGTTTCTGTGTTCCTCTTCTCCCTCGTCGCTGTCCCTTCCCAGTTCAGGCTCTTATTCCCTCACCGCGTACTGTCACCAGTTTTCCTACCTTCCCGGTCTCTTGCTACGCTGACTAACACTTGGACCGACTGCAGAACTCACTCATCTTCAAAGTCTGTCTCCTGGGATGACACACCTGGGCTCATGGATATCCAGTCACTCCCTCCTGTCTGTAGCATCAAGTGCTAAATTCTTTTTTTAAAGGTTTTATTTTTTTATTTTTTGAGGGGAAGGGAGGGAAAAAGAGGGAGAGAAACATCACTGTGTGGCTGCCTCTCACGCACCCTCTTCGGGGGATCAGTACATCCCACTACAGCCCAGGCATGTACCTTACGCTGGAAATCGAATGAGCGACCCTTTGGTTTGCAGGCTGGTGCCCGATCCACGGAGCCACACCAGCCAGGGCAAATCCTAACTTCTGATCCTGGTTTTGAATGTGGTCCAAAACCTGTTCCTAAAACACCCTTCTATCTTATCTCCCTCATTTCTTTGTATGATTATTCCACTCCAATACAGCCAAATAAAACCCCTTAACTATATCCCGTGGCTTCCTTTCTCCATGCCCTAGTCTGTGCTATTCCTCCCAGGAAATTCCCTTCTCTCAGCACCTACGGTTTTCCAAATGGCTGCCAGCATTTAAAAGCAGCTTCTGGCTCCACAAAGGGCTTCCAAACACTGGAGCCAACTGTAATGTCTTCCTGCCTATAAAATTTTATCACCTAAACTTCATGTAAGTGAGAAGCACATCTCTTATATTCTTACTGCATTTTCATGCTGTAATTGCGTTTCAAGTATTTATATCTTGCTGGCTGGTTCTGAAGAACAAGGCTGGTTTTACCCTTTGACACGTCCCACTGTGCTGGCAGATACAAGTACAAGGCGCTTCTGTTTATTGACTTTAGTGATTGGTAAACAAGTGAAGCCCCAACTTCTTCACTCACTGTTTCCCGGTCCAGAAGCTTGGTCACTTTCACCTCCCCCTTGGCAGGGTCAATTGTGAACGGACTTCCTTGATTGCCACCTACAATTGAATAGTGGATGTGGCTGTTTGAAGGTCCATCGGCATCATCAGCCATAACCTGGAAAACGAGACACTCGTGCTTAGGAGCCGGCTGAGGGAGGGACAGAAGTCACTAAGCGAATTTCCGATATCAAAATCTAGTTGTTATAAGGCAATCACTTACAGCAGAGTTGTAACTGGCCTACTAAAAGACATTTCCGTATCTTCAAAATATTTTCAAGTAAGGCCACCGCACACGTACAAAAAACAGATCTTAATGAAACAAACACACAAAACAAAACTCTCGCAGAGATCCAGAAGGAGAAGATGCAGGGGAACAATTACACACCGTAATGACGGATTGTTCCAGCACAGCATCTTCGCTGATCACTGCTGTGTAGGGGTCTTGGCTGAACACCGGGGTGTTATCATTGATATCTGTCACGTTGATGTTCACCGTGGCAACGTCGCTTAATGAAGGGGTGCCTCCGTCCGTGGCTTCCACAGTCAGGTAGTACTCATGAGAGCTTTCGTAATCCAGGTTCTCGATGATAAATATGGCCCCTGGACGGAAAATCAAAGTTACTTCCGGCACTTTGAAACGCCACCGCTTTCTCCCACTGTGACCGAAATAGACACATATGAATGCTTTCTAATTTTTTAACTCAATAATTAAAAATTAGGAAGCTCCATCCCTGATCTTTATTTCTCTTATTTTCCTTATATTCTTTGTGATGTTTAATTGCTTTCCTTGTCAATACCATCAACACCTCTGCTATAAAAATGACTATATTTCTTATCTCTTTTAAATCAGAGATTTCATTCTAATTTAATAAAATAATGACATAAAAATGCTTCTCTTTGGCTTTCACCTTCCTTTTCTTCCCATACTTTTTATTTTACAGAAATACGCATCCTTTTTCAAATCTCTAGAATAACTATTTACATCCTATTATTTAAAAAAATCCCTTTTTGGTTTAACAACTCTTTAACATCTCTTCTCCTCCTTATTGTCCACAGTACTTAAAAGAGCCCTAAAAATAAGTTTTATGATATGCGTTAAAACCACATTTTATAATAGCAGCCTCACACACTTACTTACTCTTCACCTGAAATAGCTACATGTGATTAAATGCAGTCTGAATGGAGCAACTTTTTACAATGCTCTAAGACCTACAGCCATTTAGGCCACAGGTTAACCAGACTAAGAACATATTTATGCAGCAGGAGCTGAAGCGCCGATGGCTTTCGACCTTGCTGGCAGTCATCCGGCCAGTGTGACTTGACGTACTTCAACTGTTACGTATAACGAGCATAATAAAAAAGTCAACTTTCTGAGTGATCAGACGTCCCCACAGAAACTAAGATCAAAGAGGTGGGAACTACCGTTTCACCTGGGAAGTTACTTCCAGGTAAATTCTATACTAACAGAGAGCCACTATGTCGATCCTCTGCTATCTTCTAGTCTTTATCTTCACTAATTGGCTACATCTTATATCTTTTCTAAATCACTAGAGTGTGATACTTCATTTTTCAATTTTAAGTTAAGTGGCTTATAGTTACAATGGAGACATCAGAAATGCATTATGCAGAACTACAGTTTAAAGCCTTAGAAACCACTTTAAATCCCATTTGAAATAACAATACAAAGAAAACTTGAGTTTTACCCTTTGGAGTATCTAGTAACGATGTATCATCGGTCACCTTGTAGCAGGTCAAGGGCGGGGCAATCTACGCTTTTGGGCAGAATAAAGGGAGTCCTCTCATTCCCATGCTAAGTTACCTGTTTTGGGGTCGATGCTGAATTTCCCATGTTCATTCCCACTGATGATGGAGTAGGTGATTTCGGCGTTGGCTTCAATGTCCCGACTTGCTGCATACACCTGGAGAACTTGTTTTCCAATGAGAACGTCCTCAGACACTGAGGCACCGTATTCACGGTATTCAAACACAGGCGGGTTGTCATTTATATCCAAAACAGACACAATAACAGTGCTAGTCGCTGTCAACCTCCTTGGCAAACCCTGGTCCACGGCTTTCAGAGTAAGGGTGTACACTGCTTGTAGTTCTCTGTCCAAAGGCTTTTCTAACTGGATGATTCCAGATAATTCATTAACGGAGAACTGTCCATCAGCAGGGTTAATCAGAGAGTAGGCTATCTTCCGATTTAGCCCTGTCAGGAGACACCATGACACCATGACACCATTGGCAGAATGTTTTATTTCAAGGAATTTAAACAGATTGTATTTGGGGGGGGGAGGAACATGTAGCATACATATTAAAAAGGAAAAACACTAAAACACATTATTTCAAAATTCTTATAACTATGATCTTAAAGAAGAAAATTTTTATATTAACGATTTGCTGAGTTAAAGTAAATATAATTTCATAGTTATCTGGCTTTTTAAGGCCATGTTTTATACAGACTTAGGCTGTAATACCCAGCAGATTTTTTAAAGTCTATTTATTATTTACTTCAGTGACACAGATTTATTTGAAAACTTACATTTTTGTTATTCTAATTATTAATATGACTGAAGAAGTTATTTTTATTCTCTGCTATCAAAGTGCTATAGATAACCTAGATTTTTATTTCTCCATAAAAATTTGAATGGTTCATAAAACTATAACATTAGAGCATTTGCTTCTGTTATGTTCCTATGATACTAAAATCTCTATGTTACTAATGGTTTATTCACAAAATAATACTTCACTACCTCAATGGGATATGAAGAACAGTTAATACAGTCACTAACCACAATTTTAGGGACACTACAGATATCTTAAAATAGCAAGGTCAGTGGGCACAATTCTGAGACTTCAAAAACTCATTGAAAGTGAATTCATTATTCTAAACATTTCCTTCCATTTTTAATGCTCAGGAATGAAATAACAAAACAATGACAGCTATTCAACATATTCAACATGCATGAGGTAAAATAATTAAACCATCCGAATATGGGATGTGTTTTAAAACAAAGGATCTTGGAGCCAAGTTTGGAGACAAAGCCCTGCCACGCGATACCTGCATCCGCGTCCGTGGCCTGCACCCTGGTCAACGGCGTCCCGGGCTCTGTGTTCTCGAACACGGTAATGGTGTAAGGATCGGCAGAGAACTCGGGGGCGTTGTCGTTCACATCTTCTAACGTGAGCACGACGTTAGCTTGACAGAACCGTCCCCCTCCATCTGTGGCCTTGACTAGGAGATGATAAACCGCTTGCTCCTCGCGATCAAGCGGGGCTAATGTTTTCAGTTCACCTAAAAAAAAAAACAATACACGGACTCACTCGAAATTTAAGATGTCAAGTACAATACCAAATCTTACACCTTCTCCTTTTCTCTCACGATTACAAAACCTGAACAACAGCCTTCCTCTGCGCAACAGTTTTCTCCATGGCACAGTGAACAGCGGTGGGCGCACAGTGTGTTCCAGGTTCCAGCCTGGCAGGTGCCAGCTCCCTGCCCACAGATCTCCTGCACTAGACACAATGTCGCAAAAGCAAAACAGCTACCTGATTTGCCAAACGTAAATTTTTAAAAAATGCCTCAAAATATTAGATTCCCAGGTTCGTAATTAGTTTTTTGGTAGGGGAGAGCTTAATAGAAAACTACTACTTGGCCCCATTTCTAACAAAATACAAATTATAAGAGGGAAATAATCCTAACAATTTAAAGATGAATAATGTGCCATGAGTTATTTTAGTGAATGTGCTAAATTATAAATTTATGTTCACAAATTCATGAATACAAGCAAATATAAAAGGGATAAAGCAAAAAGTTTGAAATATACTTTGCGTTTTTTTTTAAAAAAAGGTGATATAAACCATTTTAAATCCTTGACTATTGATTCTTTTATCTCATCCCTAATTTTACACATTAAATTGCTGTTTAGATTTCTAAAAGATGATGATTTTGCAGCATCTAAGTACATTTTTACAAGAACAAAATGTAATTTCAAATTCTGTAAATGATCTAAAACCCCCACCTATATGACTTTTTTGAAACACAAAATAATTTTGCCCCAAACTCTATCATTACCTGTGTCTGGATTTAGTTTGAATTTTTCTGCACCTGGACCAAATAATGTGTAAGTAATTTCAGCGTTGGAACGGATATCTGCATCTGTAGCAGAGACCTGCATGATCAATTTCCCGGGAAAGGCATCTTCTGATATGGTGTCTGAATATAAAGCCTACAAAAATTTGAAACAATACTGTTAACACAAAACAGTGAAAGTCAACATGACCGCCAAGGGGATAACAGAAAGTAAATCATTTGCTTTTGGCCATAGAAAACAAGGGAAATGACGAAAGTTAAAAATCCAAGGAGTTTTCCAAAGTTTCTTATAAAACAAGGAGCCATGTAACAGTTAACAATTCCATATTGTTGAAAGAGTCTGATCTGACATTTAACCTGCAGAGTTCTGAATATAGTGCTTCATGTCTTTGACTTGGTTTCGTATTTAATTTAAATTCTAATGAGAAAATATACACAGTGCTCCATATTTATCCAAGGATTGGTGAGAACAGATGCGTGTTACATCCTATCTACCAATTTCCAATATAGATATTTATTGTTTGCAATTATTCTTAACATATAACGAAATAAACACAGTTGAGAAAGAAGTGAGCTCCCCGTCACGGGAGAAAACAAAGATTCCCCAAGGCCACATGATCAAGCCAGGCCCTTCCATTACCTGCTCTAACCTCTCTCCCCATATCCACCCTAACTCTCAAATTAGGGGCTGTTTCCTCTTCCAACTACTTAGACACCCATACCATAAACCAAAACATAAGACAGATGAGGTTTTGCTGAATTTATTTTCCTAACCCAAACTCAATTTTAGGTGAATGACATTTTATGACTCATGAAACAGAATGTTTTAGAATACTGATGATTTGAAATGATCTTAGTGTTCTAATTTTATTATTCCCAAAGTTGATAGGGTATTACACTGAAATACTATGAAAGTGTTAGAAAACAATAAAACACACATTAGTGTCTATGAGATATATATATATTTTATATATTATATAATATATAAATATTTATATATAACATTATATAATATATAAAATATATACATTTTATAATATAAAATATATACATATTATATATAATATATATATAAACCCCCAGCCTCCCAAAATTTTTATATTTATATATATTTATAAATATATATTTATATATTTATAAATATATATTTTTATATATAAATATATATTTATATATTATATAATATATATTTTATAATATAATAAAATATATACATATTATATATATTGTATATATATAAAAAATCCCCAGCCTCCCAAAATGCACACACATGGACTGGAACGAACTCCTCATTCCTCAGAAGCTCCGTGCCCCATCCCGAGGGAATCAGAGCGAATCAGTGCGTACCTTCCACAGCATCTCACGCTCACCGCAGCCTTCTCCACCTGCTCTGCCCCTCCTTCGAGGTCACTTTCCCCTGAACCCAGCCTTCCCTCACCTGGCCACGCTCCTCTTCCTCCCTTTTACTCTCCAAATCGATTTCCTCATTAGCACACGCTGTTTAATTTCGAGCAATCAGGCATCCCTCTGGGTCATAACCTGGGACCACCATGTCCGAGCCAGTCACAATCCCAGTGGTCTACTTCAACCTCAGTCACACCCCGCTCCCCTCCTCAAAACTCCTTCACTGTCGGGAACCCACCCTGCCAGCTACGTTCTCTTCCTTACATCTCTGCCTCCTCCTCTCTTCTCCCTCGGGAAATAACTATCTGCTGTCCCTTTTTGTTATTATCCTCTCAAATGAATTCAATTACCAGTTATCCTCAGAAATAGCCAAATTTGCATATCCTTCCCTAATATCCACCCTCAATCTCGCCATCTCTAAGTGTCTAAAAAACATTCAGCTCAACATCCCATTACCTTACACTGAGCACATCGAAAGTGGAGGCCAATGCGCTTTCTCTAGAAGCAGCCCCCCCTCCGGCTTCCCATTGGTCTCTCTCCCCTTTGCTCTTGCAGGAATCAAGCCCATCTTGACTTGACAGGCCTGCTATGCTGACACCTCCAGGCAGGACCGGGTGCTTCCGGTTTCTGTCCTTTCCTCCCTTCTGCCACCTCATCCCTTGCTGTCACTGTTCCTCATCCAGATGGACACAACACCAAACTCATCTTCCTTAGGGAACTCCCTCCCGGTCACATCCTTGCCACCTTTTAAGTGGGAAAGGGTTCCGAGTCCTTGCCTACTCTGGGATAGAGGCCCAGTTCCCATATAGACTGGCAGCTCCATGGCTACAGGAGCCACCCTGCCAGCCTCGTTGTTCCGTCTCTAGGGTGGTAAGAGCAAGTGCCCCCAAAACTGAAAAGCAAAACTGAGCCCTGTGTACGGAACTGCTGGGGCCAGATGTTTTTCCTCAAAATAACCTCACCTCCAAATGAAGGGAATCTCTTCCTAAACACTTGGCACCGCATTTTTAGAGTGAAACACAACTCTAACCCTCTCCATAGTTCATAGCATTCTGAATGATGTTTAAGCTACTTAGCGCTCCCTAAAACAGTTCGGATGCTGACCCATCTCTTGCCCCACTTCACACTCACCTCCGCTTGCACAGTTTGAGATTATAACCTGAGGCACATCCCATAATACCACGGCATCACGTGACAGTCCTACTGGAAGATCTAAGAAAGAAACCTGAAATCGTAATCTAGAAATTTAAAGAAGGAGCAACGTACCTTTTCACAAACTGGACTGTTGTCATTTGCATCAAGAACTTTGACTTCGACTATTGCTTTTGATGAGAAGGTGCCGTCAGTTGCTGTGATGGTCAGAAGGTAATTGTCCCTTTTTTCCCTATCCAGAGGTTTCTTCACATAGACCTTCCACTCATTCTGTATATTTTCAATAGCAAACTGCCCCATCGGATCCCCTCCTATTAAATCAATGGAGAAAGATGACAATCAAACTCGTTGAAATAAAGAAAGAAAGAAGTAACAGGAGAAATGAGTTATACAACAGACCTATGATGTTAAGGTTTGAAAGAATTTAGGTTTTTAAAAATAATTACATTTGAATTTGGTATACTAGCTTTTCCATCAAAATTTTATTTCAACATAGCATTAAGCCAAATAAAATATAAGGACTACTAAACATACTTAAGCTTATATTGGTACTAGCTTTTCCTTTTAATGACAATATATTTATTATGTACTAAGCATAAAGTTCAAAGGAATGGGTCATAAAGAACAGTCTAATGAAACAACTGTTACCTTTGCTCAGGCAAAGAACTTGAAATGTAGCTTGAGATGCTATTTCTACTTATTTTAGATATACTTAACTAAAATCATCCCTTTACTTTCTAATTTCCATGAAATATATCTCTCAGAATTTATACTTCTAATATATTTAATTTTAAATTAGACTGTTTAGTTTCGGTTTCTTACCTGTTATGTAGTATGTAACTTGTCTGTTAATTTCTTCTGAATCAGCATCTGTGGTACTTAAAATGGCAATTACACCACCTGGGGGGTCATCCTCACTCACGGTCCCTTTATAAATCTCTGCCGTGAACCGTGGGGGACTATCGTTGACATCGGTGACAGTAACGTCCACGATGGCTGTGGAGGACAGCTGAACCTTTTCCCCGTGATCTGATGCAACCACTTTAATCTGGTAGTTGTCTCTCTTTTCGTGGTCAAGCTCCTTCAGGGTTGTGATCCAGCCTGTTTCCATGTTGATGGCAAAGGATTCGGTGACTTCCACACTTTGTGACGGATCTAGACTATACATAACCTGGCCATTGGTTCCCGAGTCTAGATCAGAGGCCCGGATCTGGATGACTCGACTTCCCCCTGGCTGGTTTTCAACAACAAATGCCTCATATGGGCTAGACTCCAAGACCGGGCTGTTATCATTTGCGTCTTTCACTTGGATACTAACATCCACAGAAGCCACCACCTCGTCATCGTGAGTGCACCTGGCGAGTATGGAAAACTGATACCACTTTGTTGTCTCATGATCCAGAGCCTTCTCCAGCTTCAGTTTCCCACTCTGTCTGTCGATCACGAAGAACTCGTCCCTGTTACTTTCAGGGGTATTCCCTTTGACAAGGCTATAGAGAACAGTCCCGCTGTGTTCTGCTCGAATGACGTCTATTTCTGTTCCAATGGGCATGTCTTCTGAAACTGTGTAGGTGTAAAACGGTTCTGAAAATTTTGGAAGCTGCGTTTCTGGTGGGAGTATTTTCACACGGACGGGGACAATGGACTCTTTGGGAGGAGACCCGTTATCCACAGCTCTAACAAAGAAAGTGAAGAACTCATCTTCTAAGCCAATTAAGCTTTCCTTTGTAGTAATTATGCCAGACAGTTTGTTGATTTCCAAGTTCTCTTTCACGCTTTCGGAATCTGCTTCAATGGCATAGGCGATGTCGGCATTGGACCCCTCATCGGCATCACTTGCAAGAACTTTAATGACGGATGTCCCTTTGGGAGCATTGGATCCGATGTTTACTTCATACTTGGTTGCTCGAAATTGAGGTGCATTATCATTGTCATCGGTAAGGATGACGTTAATGGTGCAGAAAGCAACTTTTCCTCCAGCATCCTTAGCCATTAAACGAACCGCGATGACTTTCTCTGCTGGGATTTCGCGATCAAGTTTTTCCAAAGTAAATATCTGTCCCCTCTCGTTTGTATAAAATCTGTCTTTGGCAAAGTCATTCACAATATGGTAAGTGATGTGGCCGTAAATACCAGAGTCCCCATCAGTTGCTTTAACCTCGATCACCAGGGTGTGTAAGGGGGCGTTTTCAGCTAGCTCCACTTCGTACTCATTCTGAAGGAACACAGGGCTGTGCAAATTGCCTCCAATTACAGTTATGTGAACCTGGGCTGAACTTCTAAAGACGCCATCCGAAACAGAAATGTTAAGACTGGAAAATGGCTTCAAGGTGTGCCGGCGGAGGTTTGAGAGCGTGATAATCCCCGTTTCACTGTCCATGATGAAATTCTTATGATCGTTGCCAGACAGAATGGAGTATTCCAACTTGTCTATGTCTGAGCTGTCTGCGTCATAGGCTTTTACACAGGTCACAAAGTGCCCATGCGTGGCGTGCTCGCTGATTTTGGCCTCATAAACCTGCTGCTCAAACAGCGGCGGGTTATCATTGAGGTCAGTGACATCCACTGTGACAATCACATCACTGCTCAGCGGGGGCATGCCCCCGTCGATGGCCCTCACGAAAACCTTGTGCTGATGGAACTGCTCATAGTCCAAAGGTCTGGCTAGTGAAATGAGACCAGTGCTGCTATCGAGGTGAAAATGATCATGGCTCTTGCTGTGATTCCCAAACATGTGGTAAGAAATTCCCCTGTTGGGTTCCGAGTCAGAATCGGTGGCTCTAACCTGAACAACAGATGTTCCAATGACAGATGCCTCAGACAGCGTTGCAGCGTAAGACTGCTGCACAAACACGGGAGGGTTATCGTTAACGTCCTCCACTATGATGTCCACAAACACCTCGGCATGTGCACCGGTCAAGGAGTCAGTTGCGCGCACGCTCAGTTTGTATGCTGGGTGAGACTCGAAGTCCAGAGGAGCTACGACGTTGACAACTCCCGTGTTGAAGTTAATAGTAAACTGGCTAAACGGATCCCCGTCTGTGATGCTGTAGAAGACTTTCAACCCTTCCGGGCTGTTGGCTTGTACGTGGACGACTGGGCTGTGCATCTGGATGTTCTCTGGGATCTCTGCACTGTAGAAAGGCTTTTCGAACACAGGCATGGCTTTGTTCATCACCGTGATTGGAACTAGAACTTCAGCGGAAAAAGCTGGGTTTCCTCCGTCTTTTGCCACCACTGTGACCAGGTATTGTTTATTTAAGGTGTCAGGTTCGAATTGCTTTTTCAGTGAAATTTCCCCTGAGGGTCCAATCTGAAAGTGCTCGTGATGTTCCTTAAGGTAGTAATGCACTGCCCCATTGCTGCCACTGTCTCTGTCCACGGCAGTAACCTGGCGAATAACATGGCCTACTGCCGCGTCCACCTTAACAACAGCGTAGTAGGGGAGGTTGACAAACACTGGTGCATTGTCATTCTGGTCTTCAATGACGACCTTCACAAGGACATGGGACACTGCTGCAGGCTTATGTTCTTGTGTCACTTCGACTACCACATCAAATGCCTCCTGCTGTTCACGATCAAACGGTATACCTGTGGTGGACAGAACGCCCGAAGTGCGACTTATTTTAAACCTGCGATCTGGGTTGAGGATGCGGTAAAACAAAGGCTCGTTGATTGGATTCCCAACAGCAGTGATGACGGCTAACATTCTGGCTTCGGTGGAATTCTCTTTCACTACTGCCGAGTAGAAATTCTGGGTGAACTTCAGCTGACTTTCTTTGCTTTCTTTCACGTTGATTTTCACAGAGGAAAAGCTTGCAAACCTGCCATCAGAAGCTCGGATGGTTAACTCATAGCGGCTTCTTAGCTGAGTCGTGTTTTGCACCGTAATGGAACCAGTCTTGTGGTCCATCCAGAACTTCTCCCCAATGTTGCCTTCCGTGATCGAGTACATCAGCTGTGAGAAGGCGCTGGAGTCAGCATCGGTTGCATTGACTGTGAGGACGTTCACTCCTTTGTATGTCGGCAGCAAAAGAGAGGCTTCGTACAATGACTTGGAGAACACCGGGGGGCAGTCATTAATGTCAATTACATGTATAGTCACATTGGCTGCATATTCCGCAAATAAACGCGGTGTTCCCATGTCATGCACTTGCACAGTAAAGTGAAAGGTACTCGTTTCTTCATAGTCCAAACTGAGTACCGTGTGGATGGCACCAGTGCTAGAATCAATAGCAAAATATTTGTGTACAGATGGTTCAACGATGTGATAAACAAGCAATGCATTCGATTCTTTATCAGCATCAGTGGCCCGAATCACCAGGGGGACATTCTTGTCTGTTAGGACCACGCTGTTAATGGCCGCTGATTCGCTGATGAGTCCTGTGTATTTTGCCTGTGTGAAAACTGGCACGTTGTCATTTTCATCCTGCAGGTGCACTAGAACTGTTGTGTTCGTCGATAAGCCAGCCATGTTTGTGCCTTGTATTGTCAGTGTGTAAATGGGCAACGTTTCAAAATCCAGGGCTTTCTGGGTGACGATACTTCCAGAGTGTGGATTAATATCAAAAGCATCGGCTATATTTCCATCTTTTATTTCATATACCACTGATGACTGACTATGGGCTGTAACCATTCCAACAAAACTCCCAATGCTGATGGTTTCACTGATTTCCACAGAATATTCTTTAGATGTAAACTTGGGAGAGGCATTGTCAGCAATTGTGACAAAGATATGCACAGAAGTTATTTCACTCATTGGTGGACTGCCTTTATCTGTAGCTTTTACCATTAAGTCATATTCCACTTGGTTACTTCGATCTAATTCTTTGGCGGTTTTTATAGAGCCCAAGATGGGATCAATTGTAAAAGAATTTCCAATATTTCCTGGGAGAGAAAAAAGAAACATATTAGAGAAAACTACAGGGATCAATAGAAGTAGGATTTGGAAATACAGAAACAAATGAAGATAACTTTAAAAACTATATTCTCAAAGTAAACAGAAATTCAGGATTATCAACATTTGAATGGAACTTGTTTTATTCTTCAACTTGTTTCATTTTTATCCACCTAAAGGAAGGCAGACTTTTCATATTTTTGTCCATAAAATATGAAAAGCAAGAAACAGAAGAGGTATCTGTTTTTTCTGTATCTAACGCCCAACTCGTTCTTTTGCTTGAACCAGGAATGCGCTGCTGGAGAATATGGTCACACTTCCACAGAGCAGTTAGGTTCATAACTTTACAAGAGTCTCTCAAAACCCCTTTGGAACTTATTTTCAGCATTTATCACTTGAAAATGTTCAAGACTCTTATTCATCATAAAAGGGAAGACCCATACATTAAGAAAATTGAACAAACTTAGGAAAACTGTCCCTTATTTTAAATGTCCAGGGAATTGATACATAAGCTTGTGTATAATGTATCCCATTTCATAGGTTTTGAAGATTTCAGTAATAATCTTTTTTCAGATCAATTTATTCTCTAAGTCAGTGATTCTGCCTTCTGGGTTTGGTGGAATTCTCTGCCCAGAAGGCAGAATCACTGCAACAATGTCTGGAGACATCTTTGGTTGTCACTAGTGGAGAGAGTGGGTAGGGATCAGAGATGCTGCTAAACTTCCTGCAATACACAGGATGGCCCCACAGTAACAATGTTTGGTTCAAACAGTCAGCAGTGTTGAGTCTGAGAAACTCTCTGCTAGCAAAGACTGTTTCACTGGCTTTTCATTGGACCTCCCTCCTCCTCCTACATTATATACATGTACTGAGCTGCAAGCTCAACTCTACAATGTTCTGTTGTTTTGTGTCATCAACTGAAATCTTTCTGACGAAAACTAGCAGCTTACAGCATTTTAGCAGTTACCTCTCTTTTTGGAGATCGAGGCAAGGTGAGGAGGGTGCGCTCCATCCACGAACCCTTCATCCCTTTTCTGTTTTACGAACCGGAGTCTAGGTCCATTACCCTAGTCAAAGGACTGAACTTATTTTTCCAGATGAACTATCACACTTACCCAAAACGAGACTGAATCGCCACCTTACAGCTTTCTCTAATTGTTTTCCTCCTGCTATGCGAGCGCGTGGGGCACCTCGTAGAACAGCATTACTTGGTGTGATTTGCAAACTGGGTGATTAACCAAGCACTTCCTTCTCCACATCATTACTCAGAAACACTTCCTCTATAGCTTTCATTTCCTTCCTTTAATACAGTTTCCAAAAATCCATGATCGTTTTTTTTCTGTAGCCAGACCCAAGGCTGATTTCGATTAAGCCTGCCTGGCTCCATATCCAGACCCCATGGCCACACCTCTGTCTGTACCAGGACAGAGGCCTGGGCTTCCTCCAGGCTCCACGGCTCCAAGCTGGACCCTGGCCTGTGAACAGGCTCATGCTGCCTCTGCCAGGCCTGGCAGACACTGTCTCCAGTCTGTCTGTATCTATGGGAGTCAGGGACCCCAGATTCTCTCCCTCTGTGTCTTAGTCAGTCATCAAGGTCCTTTCTCATCCTACCTGTGCATCACCCCAAACTCTGAAACTCAGTGACTGGCTGCTTGGACCACAGAGGAGACTGTGGAGTGCCTCTGGACAGTGGCCTCCATCCCCATCCCTTGGACTTCCTGTCTGTCCTCAGAAAGCAGCTGACCTACCATATATTATACTCAATCAGCTAAGTGCACGTCTCTCTTATCTTGGATAGTGAAATCTTAATGCTTCAAATACACAAGGCATCACATCCTTTATTACTTGGAGTAGGCTGACTTTGATAAAGACAGCTCTGATTCTGGCATTGAAACAACAAGCTAAATCAGAAGACTGTTCTGATTCTACAGTCTGCACTGTAACAACAACATATATAAATGTGTGTGTGTGTGCATATGTGTGTGTGTGTGTGTGTGTGTGTGTGTGTATGACATTGTGGCAGAAATCACCAGGTTTGCAGATGGGAGCGCAACGTGATCAATCTTTCTGCAGAAAAACACTGAGGGCTGCTGAGTGGCTTGAATGTGCTCGACTGATCTGGTAACAGGCACACTTGCCAAATACTGAAATATACGACTGGCACTGGTGAGCGAGTTCCCAGGGCGGCGGCAGAAGTCTGTACTTGGCTGGGGAAACCAGTGATTGCTAAACAGCCTGAAACTGTTCTCTCTATTGGAACAAGGTGACTATCTGGACAAACTCGCACGCCTGTGCTCCTCAGCTATGACCGTAACACACGTGCACACTCCACAGGGCGTGTCAAGGTGCTGTGCACCAGAATCCGTGTCTTCCTGCAGTGGACCTGCCGTGGGTGCTGACTGCCTGCCATACGGTAGCCTCTACAAACTTCAAGTGCAATAATATTTAACCTAAGTTTCGGGGGAGAAAACCAATACTGGTCAATAAGCCTATTTACTGAGTGTTTCCATTTCCAGGCGTTACAACCAAGAGAACACCTTGCAGCCTGTGGCTCTGCTATGTCTCTAAGCACACAATTCAATTGTTACTGAAAATATCCTTTAATTAATTCCTTCCCCCGTCAAGACTCCTAATCAGACCAACCTTTTGCTCAATAAATTGCTGCTGATTAAACATGCAGTGTTATGGCCTGAATTTATAATCAGTCTTTTGAACTTTGTTAAATGTAATCTGACAGCAATGAGAAGCAGGTGATTATGAAGAGACTGCAGGCGAAAGACTGAACGACCACTTTATAGGCCCGCTATTCAAACGATTCACACGCACGCAACTCCACAGCCTGTAAAGGGAGTCACTTCCTGTCAAGTAATTGTTTAGCACAATTTGTATATCACCAAATCTAAGAAAATAACTTTCTTAAAACTTCAAATTCTCTATGAGAATAGGTCCTTGATATTATCTATTCTGAGCAGAGATACAGTTCCATTCTTGGAATAGCAAATTATTAATTCTGTCAGTCATTACAAGCATTTAAAGAATGTACATGCCTTCAGTCAGGCACCAACAATCACATTTTAACCACCCAGTTGGTTGAGAATTATGTGAAAGCTAAGGGAAAGTTTCACATTTTCTCCTACACAAACCCAGTTTGTCTATGAGAAAATTATTTTACTGAAGTGCTCAGGCATGCACAATGGAATGCACTGATTTTTAATGGCTAAACTTCTGAACCAGTGGAAAAATCTTCCTCTTCAGGCAAGGCACTACCTACACTAAAATACATTTTATTACTCCTGCAACCATGGGCAGTATATGAACTCATTTAGGCCGTTTTCAGTGAAATAAATTAATCTTCGATTAAGAAATAAAAAGTTTAAGCACATAAACTATATCAACTAAGTTTTTTTTTAAAAAATTACTCTCCATTTGCTTGGCTTTTGATTATACGATCTCTAATGTACACCTCCTAATTCTAATGCCTAAGATAGATACAGTTTCTAAATATGCAAAGGTATGAACTTAGAAAAACCAAGTCAAGTTCAGTGGATGATCTCAATACTCTAAAATCATTATAAAGACAGAACAATGAAAGAGACTTTGTATTAACAATGACACTGGAAAATGAAAGCTGTCTTCTCGATTTTAATCACTTATGTTATTTGGCATGAGTAGAGGAGGTCCCAAAGCAAGGCCATTTCTAACTGAACAAATCACAGGCTCTACAGCAGACTTGAGTCCTGTTTCAAGCAAGGGCAGATTTCATTTGCAAGAGCATACATGTGGGGATCAATGGAAACCTCGCCCCCATACCTTGCACGTATCAAGTTCAAGTATCAATGTGCCTAGCATGGCCCCTGGCCCATGAAATTAGCTCAATGAGGCCATGGGATGAATGAAAGAATGACCGAATAGCAGCATCAACAAAGGACAGAGAACAAAAACATTCTGCTTTGCCCCAAGTGCTCATGGTGGTCCCCGTCTTGTAACTCCCAGCGAGGCTCTCGTCTCCTGCCTGTCAGCCCTGCAAGGACAGCCCGCCCTTCCAGCTGGCCTCCCGGCCCCTGCCGCCTCTTGCCCAGCTCCAGCTTTTCAGCATTTCTTTGAGTCCAGAGCCCAGCCCTGGGGCCTGTGGCGACAACTCACAAATGAAACGCAACTGTTCAAGCTGCGTGGGGGCGAGAGCAGCAGCAACGCTGACCTGGGCAGGGGCGCAGGGGCGTGACATCCTCTCTGAGACTGGACGCCCTCAGAATTGGATGCGTCAGCACTCACGAAGCGTCCTGCTCTGCCCAGGAGAAAACTCTCTGACTAAACATACAGCATTATATTGCCTGGCCATCATTTTCCCAAGAGTGTTTCACAAGTTTGTTGCTTTTTGGTTTGTGTTTTGTTTTGTGTTTTTGCTTCATAGTTTAAGAAGGAAAATGACTGCGTGGTTAAAATAATTTTAAAAATACTGAATTAGTCAATTATAGTTTTCTGAAATGGCAGGACTCCTCAGCCTTGAATCATGCTAATACTGTGAGTCTCCAAGAACTTGAACAAACTTAGTTACGATTGTCCAGCCTAGCTTTCTAGGGAATTAAAAGTGAAACAAAAAAATTTTTTTTATCCTTCTCCTATCAAGGAAGATCAACGTAAGGAACTTTTACAGTGATATACAGAAATGTTCCAGCATCCAGAACTATATTTTAGAAAAGAGGAAACATACTTTTAAACAAGTACAAAGTTAGAAACCTCTGGAGTGCTCCAAAAATACCTGATTCGATGGAGTACACCACTTCAGCGTTCCTCCCCTTGTCCTTGTCCAGAGCTGTGACCTGCAGCACCACGGAGCCCACGGCAGCGGACTCATACACCCGCCCCTCGTAGGAGGAGCTCGTGAACCAGGGGGCATGGTCGTTGGTGTCACTGACGTTCACAACGATCCTTGCAAAGTTGCGCTTCACGGGGACATCTTGATCTCGTACCTGAAAGAATCAACGCATCATCGATCCTGTTGGAATTTTCCTTCTGATTCAAAAAGACTCTCAACTGCATGAAACCTTTAGGAACCCCACGGTGGCAGAAGGGGCGGCGGCCGTACCATGACTGTGAGCACATGCTGGTGAGTGGCCTCATGGTCGAGTGCTTCCGCGGTGTGCAGGGAGCCAGTGGCGGGGTCGAGGCGAAACTTCTTGAGACTCAGTGGATCGATACTACTATGCAGAGTGTAGATGAGTTTGTTTTTTTCATCCTCATCCATAGCACTGATTTGCAAAATTTCCGTTTCTGGAGCTGTGTCTTCAGGAATAACCACCTCATATTTTGACGTAGAAAATTGAGGACGATGGTCATTTGTGTCTATTACTTTGATGAATACCTATAATGACAAAATGATTCACATAATAAAATTCCTAATTATGATATTTTAATAAATAATCAGGGAAAAAATCAGATATACATTTTGGGGGGGGAATGATTTTTTAGCAAAATGAAATACAAACACGGGAAAAGCAACAAAAATCTAAAATCTTTAAATTTTTCATTGATATACTTACCTCTATAAATAAGTACAATAATAAAGACCTTTCGAAATTCCTGAGACTAACTTTGGAGAGAAAATGTAATACCTTTCATGCATTTCTTTATGAAATGTAGAGGATATATTTCTAGATTACTCACATAACAATAACAGTTTACCGGGATTTATGGAAGACTAATTTTCTGTATCAGAGTTGAAGCTGCAATTATCAAGCTATTGAGGTGAGGATGCTACTAGATGGTGGCAGTATTTAAATGTCTTGTCTAATCTTTGAGACTCCAAATTCCTAGCAGATTTTTTTACATTTATAAAAAAAAATTAGAAATGGGCTTTAAAATTCTTATTTTTTGTGATTATAAAACCTACACCCAAAGAGTAAACACACTGATTTCCTAAAAGCAGTTTAAGTACAATGAAAAGATAAACTCCCTTCAATATGTCAACATAGAATAAAAACCTTAGAGGAAAAAAAGCAGATGTTAAAAAAACTCAGTCCCAAGTAGTATCTTTTTACTTGCCAGTAAGAGGGTTAACCGTCAGATTGCAAAGATGTATGTGGATAAGGCACAGTGGGAATCGCTACTGGTTATAGAAGATGGTTTACTGGCACAAACAAGAAATCGTGGCTTCGCAGGCGCATGAACAGAGCAAAGGGGTTTGCTAGTCCCAGCGGCCCCAGAGGCTGGAGTCCCAGGAGTGCACGGATGATGTGGGGACCATGCCGCCGCAGGCACAGGACGAGGGGCTCTGTGGGAGGGTGGCGGCAGCGTTCTCCCGGAACCCCGAAACAGGGGTGTCCAGCCTTCCGGCGTCTCTGGGCCACACTGGAAGAAGAGGAGTCGTCTTGGGCCACACACATTAGATACACAAACACTAACGAAAACTGATGAACAAAAGGAAGGTTTTAAGTAAATTTATGATACTGTGTTGGGCCGTGTGCGTGGCCATCCTGGCAGCGGGGCCGTGGGTCGGACACCCCTGTGAAAGATCAGTGCCGGATTGTAACGTCCAACTTTGTAGGAATACTAACATCACCGAAGCACAGAAAGGCTGTATGAGAAGGTTACATCAATATTTAAAGCTACGGATGCCTCACTCTTAAAATTCAATGCTGATCCAGAAGGGATGGCTCTAGAGATAATTTCTATAGATGAAAGCATTATATATTTATTTCCACTATCAATTGAAAAATTATTTTTCTCATGGAATGTTGGGCAGACGTAGTTTAATCCTGCTCCAAGATCCATTATTCACCAGTAGACAGGTAGAGCTGAAGTAGAAACAACTGTTTTTGATAAGGCAATTCAATGGAAACCTCTAGTGGGCACTTGCACGGTCAGAGCGTAGAGGAAACGTGGCAGCCCCTGCCCTCAGGGAGCTTTCCCTCTCATGGGCAACGTGATGTACGTACAGAGTCTAATGAGGTTTCACTCCTGATCAGGCAAGTCTTCAGGAAAGTCTGTGCGAGTCAGAGATGGCCCGGGACGGTCAGCACGCACTCGGGAGGAAGCAAGGCATTGCCTGTGGGGGTTTCGGGTTGGCAGGTGAATGCACGCTGGGGCGGGAGGGACAGCTCAGTCACACAGGACAGCGGGAGGGGGGAGGGGCCCCCCTTGCCCTTCGAGACTGGAGAGAAGGACCTGGACCTGGGACAATACAGCGAAGATGCAGGGAGGAGGTGGGCTCGAACATGCAGGGCATGGCTGCCAGGCAGAGGCTGGAGGGTTTCATGTCCTGTGCATCTGAACTTCTGATGAGAGGACATTCCCCTTGACCCTTTCTTCCAGGTGGGCAGGCCACTCTGGTGGCAGGCAGTACAAGATGAATTGCAGGGACACAGAATGGAAACAGGGAGGTGACTTTAGTGTCAGTGGGAGACCGGAGTCCACACCGGTGCTCATGCGCAACAGGGACGCTCTGTGAGCGCTGGCTGGTGGCGGGGTCTGGGGGCTTGGAGGGCGAGCCCTCCGTGCCACCTCACTTAACTGCGTAAGCATCCAGGTGAGAAGAGAGAGGCACAGAGGGTCACAGCCCCTGCCCAGAACAGGACAGGAGGGAGAAAGAGCTCAGGTTCAAACCACACGGCCCACTCCAGAGTATGAGATGCTGGTGCTTGAGAGAAAATGAAAGGAAACAGGGAAGCAACGCTGTTTCAAAGAAAGGGATAACATGTTAACTGGGTTTGAGGTACCAGATAAAGCAAAGCGACTCGCGCTAATACCGGTCAGCATCCTATGCAGAAAACACCAGGGTGGGAAAGCCAGGGGGCTGTCGCTGCAGAGCGCTGGGGGTGACTTCCCCAGCCGTCCCCGCCCCCCTGCGGAGGACAAGCCTTGTCACAATGCACCAGGCTCTCCACACCGCCCATCTGACACCTGCTGTTGCTGACCTTGGGGCAGCAAGGCCTGCTCTGTTGGTCCCTCAGTTGTACCTACAGCCTGGAGTCCACCTGGCTGCGTTCCAGCACCTGTCAACCTGTTCCGGCCTCCGCGTCCCTCTGCAGGTGCTACCTGCTGCTCTGCCCCTAACCCGACTCCTGTTCCCTGGTCTCAGCCGCGGACTGGAAATCCAAACCCAGGCACAGGCTGTGCCCTTTGTCCCGCCCCTTCACAGGTCAGCCAGGCTCCGTACCCATCCTCCGATACGCTGACCACCTCTCCCTGCCAGCAGTTCGTGGGGACTGGACCAGGACCCTCTCAAAATCTGTTATAGAAGCAGAAATGAAGCACTGAATTTAAGATATCCTGTATTCCAGAGAAAGGAAGACTAGACTACATTTCCTGGATTTTATAGAAATTCTAGTCAATCTACACCGTATTTTATAGTAAGCTGCTAAACTGAACGAAGTAAAACTACAATTATTGGGAAAGGGGGCACTGTTAACTATTCATTTGTGTAATTAAGGGATAAGTGCTACAGGGAGACAGACCAGCTTTGGTAATAAGAATGCTTTCTACTGCTTATTAAGTTCCTTTTGCTGCATTTCTGGTGAGTTCATTATTTGAGCTAGTCTACACACAGTTATAGTCTTTAAATTTTTCAGAATTATCCTATTAAATTTATTATAATTCTTGATGTTTTATTATTCTCATTTTCACGCTCTACAGTCTAATTTCTACAATGAGAACAGTTACCAACAAATCTGAAATTTTAATGAAGATACTGGAATTTTTGCATGACAAATTCAGAGCAACACCAAAGCGTGGTACATACATCAATGTTAAATACATTAAAGATCAAAAGCATTAGGAAAGAGGAATAAACCTTTTCACAATTGGCTGTAGATTATCTACTTATTTTTAATTGAAAAGACAACATAAACTATAATTTTTATTCTTTAATGCAATTAAATGATTTAGCAGATGATCTGGCTCCCGTAAGATTTAAAACAGTTTAACTAAAGCTTGAAAGCTGGGACTTTAGAAGCATTTTATCCTCTAACATTTAACTTCTTCCTTTTGCTTTTTGGCTATAACAGGTGGTCCACATGCCTTTAGCTTCCAGCCTCCTAATGGAAGCTCCAGGAGAGGAGGGTTTTGTTTCCTACTATTCAGCTTCTAGAAAGATACCTGGCACATACACATTCAACAAATTCTCAAAAGAGCCCACTCTGAGAAATCAAAGAGAATGCATAGGAAAGAACAGAATTTTAATTTGATTTAGAGGGTTTTTACATTTGTATTTGAAATCCCATTATCTGGCCATTTCTTAATCATCAGGGACAAGTACAGATGTTGGAATTATTAGAACCTCATTGGTTAGTTTACACAGCCTGAGTTACGGTAGCCAAGGCTTTAACCAGCTTCAATCAAAGTGACTCGGACAATTAAGTCATCCTCAACAGGGATACACTTTATATTAACACAGTTGAGAAGGAGTAAAAAATGAAAAGATCTTGAGGACAGCAATGAGTTTTTTTTCCTTGTGTGTGTGTTCTTTCAACATTTCTAAAGCTGGTTAATCACATGCAAAGCCTAAATCAGGACTTGCAGTTACTTCCCTTTGCCTAAATAGAAAGCCCTGGACCTGTTCGCATTGCCTGGGGACCCTGACATCTCGATGGTGTCATGGTCCTCCTCTGACAGACACGTCACCCGGAATTCACTTACCTGAGTGTGTATCGTGTTGGTTCCATCTGTGGCCTCGACTGTGAGGTTATAGTTTGATCTTTGTTCTGCATCAAGTGGTTTGGCAACAATGATGGTTCCGGTGCCCTTGTCCACATCAAAGTGACTGTCATAGTTGCCACCTGGTTTAAATTAGGGCAAATTAAAAAGTGAAAACAGGTAACAGGATGAAAACCAGTCCATTATTTTGTGGCTTTCTAATTCTTAAGGGCAGTAAAAATATTTTCTGATATATTAATCAATACTGATCAAGGTGACTCTAAGGAGCTTTCATTTTGAAAGACAAGGAAAGAAGGGCAATGAGAAAGACATCGCTTCCAGTAACACAAAGTTGAGACCTAATTGTCAAGGAGGCAACCAAGTGAAAGGAAGCAAGAAAGCAACTCTGAAAAGAGAAAAGCATTATTGACGTTGCCAACGAATTACTGTCGATTTGCTTTTTTAGGGGTCTAAGTATCTCACTTACATATGAGGAGCTATCGAAGAGATCGTTTTGTAACCAAGGTTGGCCATTTAAAAGTTTAATTATTTTTTTTATTTGTGAGATTTAGGGCCTACTGCCCTAGTAAAATAACTATGAAAAACAAATGTTAGCTCAGAAGAAAATAGTGGTAGTTAACAAGAGTTAGTCATGACTTTTATAAACTATTTGAAATTTTTTCCATTGTTGTCACACAAAGCCAAAAGCAGCAAAAGTTTCTGTGTTATTTATATTATACAAATGCATTGCCAATTATATTCTAGATAAAACTCTTTTCAAACCCCACTGAACTTGAGATACATCAATGAAATGGAATGAAAATGTCTTAATGTGATAATGAAGTTCTATTACTAAATCTCACCAAAAAGTAAAACAACACACACACACCCCCCACCGCCCACCCCAAAGTCTTCAGTTAAAACTAAAGATCTAGGGATGGATGAGAAGTCAGTTTGCAATTAAAATGGGTGACCATGTGCACACTATGAAAAGCAAACACAATGGAAGGTAGTCACTGGAAATAAAGTTCTAAAAATGGACGCTTTTATTTCAGATCTCATAATCTGAGGCAAATTATGTGATCTCAGCAGATACCTTCTGCTGTACAGTTCAGGTCACAAGTCATCTGAAAGATGTGAAACACTTCTCTAGCAAGTGTGTCTCCTGGCCCAGCCAAAATGAGGCAAGCAAGCATGGAAGAAAGCACAGAACAAGGAAGAGCCATCAGACCAGGTCCAAAGGCACCGGGACCAAGCAGCGAAGTCAGACGCTGCACGCGGCAGCCTGCTCCTCTGGGAACGCGACAGGAATTAACAGACAGAACACACACTATTTTGACCGCAGTTAACTATGAAAATGGTCTCATTGTTTTTCCTTTAAAACTAACCTGTAATGGATTCACAGGTGGTGATGACATCCACGATGTCATACATTCACCAAAATGATGAAAAGAGCCTGTCTAGTGTGAAAGTTCAAGAGGAAACGCCGGTACCGTCTGCGCCCTGTAGTCCCTCAGCCTGTGTCCTACCGGCTCAACTCACTGAAATAACACTTGGGGGGCAGGGGCTCCGGGGCAGACGTGGGCAAAGGGATATGAAGTTCCAACTAGAGACGAGTCGCCATACCTGCTTTTGATCCTTATAATTAAAATAGTGTGAAGAAACAATAAAAAAGAAAACTAAGGTGTCAAAGTCTAACGTGAACTTCTTTTACGTATGTTGGAACAGGGTATTACATTCTAAGTCTAAGCTAAATTAGATGACCAAAAACCTGGTGTAGGCATATCATTTTTATCACAGGGTAACAATCCAGTGAACCCTGCTTTCTACTGAAAATGAAGTAAATAAAACTTAAAAAGTCATGGTTGGCACTATCGGTTTTAAGTTATAAAATTTAAAATTTTAAGCTTATTCTCTTTAAAATACTGATGTGTGACAATCACAGGTATTTTAAACATTTAAATCACATTCACTGAGAACAGTAATGTGCCAAATGCTACACAGAAAAAAGGAAAAATTAAAAAGCTGTACTACTGAACCGAAGTGTTTAGATTTCTAACTCCTTGATGTACTTTTAAAAATCTTATTTTTATATTGAGGTGGTACATAGAGAGCACCTACTTTAAACAGGTTTATGTATGTTGGATATTGCGATAGATTTTTCAATCAAAATACTGCAAATTGAAACTGATTGGTCTTACGCCCCATTTGAAATTTTGAGACGTGAACAAAAATCAGGAAAGCACAAACAGGGTCTCCTCGGTGTAACCCAAACAAGGACAGTGACAACTGTGAGGAACACTTACCAGTGATGTCAAACCAAAGAGGTGTGCCGGGCGGCTCCACTGTTATCACTCCGATCATGTGGGCCACTGGGTCGCTTTCCATGACAGTAAAGGTGAAGAACGATTCTTCAAAGGAGATTGGCTCCGGGGATGGTTTGGGCTTGGAGATCCATTCAATATGGAGTCGAGTCGTTGACCACTTTTGGGGGCGACCGTTATCGACTGCCTTAATCTATACAACAGGGGCAGGGGGCATAAAAACAGCCAATTAGCAGGACTGACATCCCATACCTGAAGCCTGGACTGGTCTGGCCTTAAACTGAGCCCATTTGAAACATCCAACACCTGTATTTGCACATTCCACATGTCTGACAAAAAGAGCAACCTCTCTGTGCCACACTCAACCAGGAGTCACTGGAGTGACAGCTGAGAAGAGAAGAACCAACCCCTATTTCCCAGTGTCAGCTCGCAAGCACTGAGGCCATTTACTGAATAAATTTATGAGCGAGAGAAAGAGACACACAAGCAGATTCATCATCAACATATATAACAAGTTCAAAGGCTTGGTCTTAACTCACGGAGAGAATGTCATATTCCCCAGCTCCCGAGAACTTCTTGGACGAGACCAGCCCCGTCTTGGGCTCAATGAAGAACCGGCCATGCTCGTTGCCCTCCTCGATGCTGTAGGAGAGCTCGGCGTTGGGGCCTCCGTCTCTGTCCGTGGCTATGACCCGGTAGATGGGCTCGCGCCTGGCGTTCCGCTCCCGTTCCGGCCTTTCCCGCTCTGGGAGTCTGATTTTGTAGAACTTTTGTAGGAACTGCGGTTTGTTGTCATTTTCATCAAGGATTTTCACAATTACTCTTGCCACGGTTGATCTGGGAGGACTCCCATTGTCTGTCACGGTAACCTGTGTTTCAAAGGTAACAAGATCCACAAATGTTTTTAAAATGCACTATAGAAAGTGAATGTCTTCTTTCTGGTGGTGGTCAGCGTCTGCAGAAACACCTGTGGCTGACACAGCTCTGCGACACGGATCCTCTCCTCTCACTGTGACCACAGTGCCATAAGCGGGGCAAGATCCCCTCTCTCCTTTTCGGACAGAAACTCAGGGAGGGGCAAGGGCGAAGGAGGGACTGGCTGTGAGCACTGGCCCGCTTTACCAGGACGCCTCCTCCCAGCCTCGCACTACTGTCCCGTACTGTGAACATCAATGAAACGTCAAGCTACCAAAACCTTACTATTTTTAAGCCAAGCTAGCGAGATACATGACGGTTTTGTTTCAAAATTGTTCTCTTAAAAATACATACACTCCACACACTTAAAGTCTCCACAGAGTATGTTAAAAAACTATCATTCTTAAGCTTCATCAGTAAAATAAGCTAAATCATAAATTTAAAATATAAGGTAAGCAACATGGTTCATGGGGTTCAGTATTCAGTGCCGGCCTGCAAACTTGAAGGTCACAGGCTCGATTCCCGGACAGGGGACATGCCTGGGTTGCAAGTCAGGTCCCCAGTTTGGGGTGTAAGAGAGGCAAAAATGTTTCTCTCCCTCCCTTCCCATCTCTAAAAATAAATAAATACTATATATAGTTACATATATATAATGTAATGTGTATATATATAAATATATGTATATATTTTATTACATTACATATAAATAAACTGTGTGTGTGTGTATTAAGCAGCACGCCTTTAATACTCGTAATCATCCTTGTATTTTGTCTGGCTCTTGCACAGAAATCTTCCATGTTTAGTAGGGTGGACAGAAACATTTAAATTTAAGACTGATTTACGAAGTAAAATTTTCAGTAAAGGAAATATCAAGTAACTTTCACTCTAAATACATTTTTCATGCAATAGGTTTAGGAATAAAAATGAGGGATTCCTGAGGATGCACTGGGGCGTGCTTCTAGATACAGAAGAAACGATTTCACCCTTGACTCAAATGGCCATGCTTACTTCGCTGTGCAGATTAAAAACAATGACTTTGGTAATATAGTTACCTCCCCTCACCTACATCCTCCGAAAATAATTAATGAAACACTCAAAACTGAAGTAGACTGAAGATCCCCAAGGAACTATTTCCTTTTTGAAGCTTGGTCAGTGTGAATCCTGTCCTTTATAAAACTGTGAATGTACCCCAATGGTACCTGTCACGAATATTTCAGTAAAGTAGTTGCTTTGCTTCAAGTACACGATTTACCCTCCCAAACTCTCAAAACAAAATAAAAATTGCTATTGTAATTTTAATGCCTCAAAACATTTCCTTCTGATGCGTTTTCGTAAGTTAGTTGGGAAAAAAGAAACATTAAAAGAGAACTACAAGCACTATGCTTCACACTATTCATCGTCAAATTGTTCCTAAGCTTGGATTCAATAACCAATAGCCAGAAAGGCAGTTTTTAATATGTGATTGAAAAAAAAAACCTTCCTTCTTCAAGACTGTCCAATCGATGCCAGCACTGGCCTGCAATGTATGCACCGCACAGAAAGGTTACAGAAAAGTGCACACGGCATGAAAACACACTATTATGGAGTCTTATTCCCCATCGATGTCTTTAACAGTATCTTCAAAGTCTTAAGGTTCTGAGACCTGCTCCCACGCGGCCTTGACATTCACCGCAAAGAGGGGACTCTAGAGTGAGGCACGCGACTGACTGGGGGAGGGGCCCGTGTGGAGTCTGCTGCCCTGGACGACCTGCCATCTGGTTACTTTCTTCAGGAACCATATTCTCCCCTCTGTCAATCACACTAGCAACTGAATAAAAATAGAAAACTGCTCTTTCACAAAAAAAAAAAAAAAAAAGAAAGAAAGAAAAGAAAAAGGAAAAAAAGAATTCAAGAGAACTTTACAACCCATGACTAAACAGAGGTAACACACAAAGAAATTATTAATCGTCATTGTGGCTGTGAATGCATCTTCTCTAGACAGGATATTCGCACACACACTATATAAACACACACACATATATATGTAATATATATTACGTATACATGTATATATACATGTGTATAGATAGAAAAAGCTATACAATGAAATATTTTATGGAAAAGTGAGAAAATTTTGACTAAGCATGAAATGAAATGAAATTAAGCAAGCGGCATTATGAACAGCAGTAATATAAAAAGAGAGGACTTCAAAAAAATTGCAGTTTAGTACTTTTTCAATTATGCACACTGATGAGAATGAAAGACTTGTGCAGAAAGTCCTCGATTAAAATAAAAGCCCTTGGTCCTTTCCCGGTCTGGCTCCACTACTCAACACTGGCCTCTAATGTGTGACAGAGAAGCGTCAGGAGAGGCGACAGGTGTGTCCTGCCGGGTTTCCCTCTCCCAGGGCTGCCGGGTCTGCGGGCAGCGGCACGTTACCCGCCGCCGCCCTCCTCCGAATGGCCGCAGCCCGTGCCTGGGGCGTGTTTACTGCCTCCCTGGAACCCGGCGGGCAGCAGACGAGAAGCGGACGATAAGCGGCGTTTCTTCAGCCAAGGGCTAGAGACATTTTAAATACACCAGGGGAATGAGACGCCTTGTCAGAAGAGAACATCTTAGAAAGCACGTCAGACGTTCAGTGTACCTTTATGTCAGAAATTTTTTTTCAGAGCATACGCTTTATATAATTCAGTTTAAATTGCATAAACAATTGGCGAAAGCCAAAAAAAGTGGACTAGCTACAGTTTCAAAAGCTGAGTTAGATCTATTCACATAAATATATCTGAAAAGCAGAATACTGAGGAAAAAATGTAGAAGGTATAAAAAAATCACTCATGTAAATGAGAATAAAATTCAAATAACTGTTTTCAGTTTTGTTTACTCTGTGTGTGTGTGTGTGCGCATGTATGAAGTACAAAAATTAGAATGGAACTTATGACCGTGGTCTTGTATTCTGGGGACAGAAAGGCATAGAAAGGGGACATAAAAATGTATTCACAACATTTTATTTTCCCTTTTATTAATGAAAGGAAGATAATATAACAAAACATTAACAGCTACAAATACTAGTTAATGCCCACAAGATCACCCTTTCCCATGATATTTACAGCTATATTTTAAAAATTATTACAAAGAAATGCTTACTTCTAATATGTGCTCATCTTGCTGCTCTCGATCTAGTTTCCTTGACGTTGTTGTGATGAGGCCTGTAAGAGAGGACAACAGTTCGTTAATCCAGCAGCAAAATAAATGTCACCTCACAGAACCACACTCCTTCGTATGTAAAATCTGAGCAAGCCTCTCGTTTATTCTCAAGGGGAAAAAAAATGATTAATACAAGACCAGTTAATTGTTTTATTTTGTTTTAACACACTTTATACATTCTCATTTTAACAATTTTTAGACACAATAGATATATGGCAGAAGTATTAAGAAAGTGAAAAACTCAAATCAGTTACATTTTTTGGTTGAGTGGTTTCAATATGCATTTTGTCAGAAAAGATTTTTAGAACATGAGATGAAATTATCCAGGATTCCAACCTCTCCCATATCTCCTCTATTGCTGCAGAGATGATTAAGAACTGACAGAAGTAACTTCTGGAACTCTAGTGAAAGGACCATTGGAAAACATACTGTGGACTACGCTTCATTACCTTTGAAACATCCACTCTCAAAAATGAAGAACTGTTATAAAAAGAAATGTTATTTTCCAGGTAATGCTTCTCAAATAAAAATCATTTAATTTCCAATAGAAGAAGAAAATAAATGATCCTCAAAGTAACCTCTCCTTTATTTCTTTGACTTCCCTATCAAACTACAATCTCTAATTTCTGTCTCTCTCCAGGGCTCTGATAAAACTGTCTGCTGAACTGTCAAAGAATGTTGGGACCTAGAAGATCATTAAAATTGATCAAGTATACTCTTGTGCTTCAAAGATAATACAAGTCAACAAAATTCCCCCACCACTAAAATATCCTCTGCACTCAGCCTGTGTTGTTGCTCATGGAAAGGTGGCATGTTGAGTGGCTCTAGTGCCATCGGAGGATCAGGTACAGCTGGCCCCCTGTGGCAATTCAACTGCGAGGGCTCACCTTTCTAGCACCAGCTTAGTGCAGTTTCTCCAGCAGGGAAATACTTCAAATAATTCCTATGTAAGAATAGACTTTATCACTCTAATTGGTTTTCTCTATTATCCTAACTAATTTCACAGAAGTACCAATTCAAGGCTATTTAAAATGTTTCTCTAAATTTGTAAATGAAAGGTCTGTGTTTTCGTGTAATTGGAAGTATTTTCTTTTCTTAAATAGTCACTAAGAATCTAAATCAACATTACTTTCCCCACACTTCAATGAGGCAATGCTCTCTTTTTAATAGGACCAACAAAAGACTGTTATTTAAGTTAGAATCTGAGGTTTGTCCTATAGATTAAAACGGGTCCAGGGAAAATGCTTCACCACGCTTCACGGGGTGAAAATGTTGCTTTGGCACAAGCTCGATTTCCATGAGTTAAAAACCTTTTCAAGTTAATTTCGTTTTTTTCCCTATCCAAAGTTTACCCCCCATCCTTTGTGGTTTTAAGTAGGTCAAGAACGACAGAAAGTCACCATGATCGGTCCCATCTAACTGTCCTACTGTGCCCACCAAAAAGTTATTGACGGTAACTTCACAAGGGGCGACGGCCTGCCATGTTCTCAACAAAATAATACTCTGCTTCTGTAGAGGATAATCATTCACTGCACGAATGTCCATTAGCAATAAATTTCCACAGCAAATAACGTCAGCAAATAACATTCCTTGCTTCCCAGTTTCCTTAAGGCGCACCTGGTCAGATGCACCTACGCCCACGCGGCCAACTCAAAGGGCACAGGCAGCAGACCGGCCCGCCTCTCAGGTGTGGCGTCACCTGCATGCTCTCCAGGCTTCCACAGAACTCTCCTCCGAACTCAGATGGAAGCCTGACGCCATTCAAATGCCGTGAGTCATCCTTGTCCGTTGCTGCCGCCTTGGCCTCGCTATTCCCATCCACTCCTTCACCTCGCAGCTCCAACGGCCTTTCGGGGGCTCCCCCAGCAGGCCTGGCGTCGGGTGCCCCCGGCGGGGCTCTCCAAGCTCTTCCATTCCCTGTCTCACAACATCGCCCCGCAGCACTACCGTCTCCCACTGAAACGTCTTCTGTGTGCTGCAAAGCGCGTCAGAACAGAGACTGTCTTTCATGTGCATACCTTGGTAACACAGTTACCTCTCCGTTACCCTAATGAATACTGAAGTGGGTAAGCACATGAATTTCTTAAAACTAAAGAACAGAATTTAAAATTTGTTTTAGAGTAAGAGAGACAAATAAACTACACTGAACTTAGAAATAATGATACACACTTATAGCTTATCTATACCTGAGCTGAAAGAGAACCATTTAACACAGGCAAGATGTGTCAGGCATTGGGACAGGTAGACTAGGGGACGGTGGCGTCCAGCGGATGTTCAGAGGCACAGGTGTGATGTGCCAGGGAGTAGTGCGAGGCAGACAAAGGATTTGGGTTTGCCACAAGCAGGAGTGAGTATGCAGAACAAAGAGAATGGTAGGCCAACTGAAAAATAAAGAAAACAGGGGGCCAGTCTTGTGCAAATAAGGGGCATCGATATTTAGAAGGCCATGGAGAAGCCCATGAAGCCAAAGCTGGAACAGAACCATGTGCCCCAGACGCTGGGGGCAGCGAGTGTTAAAGGGGAAACCCCTCCTCCAAGCACTCAGAAAACTGGGCGCCGGGGAGGCAGGACGCAGACCAGCGAAGGCGTTTCTTTCATCAAGAGGGGACGGTGTAGCATGCTAACACGGAGCAGGTGCCGTGAGTGACAGCAAACATCAGGGAAGGGACGACCTGGGCCCGCGTGAACGCGCACAGCAGCCACTGGCCTCATGTGGTTACTGACATGAAAATGACACATGGGATAGTGCAGATGGATAGAAAGTCCTTCCTTCCTAGGATCCTGGCCTCCGACCAACAGGAACCCTATCAGAGTGTCACAGGGCTGTGTTCGCCCTCATGCCATCCCCAGGGAGAGGCTGGGCAGCCTGAGGGGGGGGCAGGAGGGAGCAAACGCACACCAAGGGCAGTGGGAAAGGGGCGCTTCCTGGGCTTCATACAAAATCGACCCTGAAGAGGAAGCAACATTTCCTAGTGAAGCAGGAAAATACTCGGCAAACAGTGGGTGCTCTTCGGAGGCACATTCTGACCTTAGAGCCATCTACAGCACGGGGTGCTCACCCTCAGGAAATGCTATCCAGACAGCCCACGCTCCGGCCGCACCAATTCCGCTGTAGGATTCAATATTCATTTCACACTTATTTTCACCTCTGTCATCCTACTAATCCTCCCTCCTGGCCTCTGTGATAAACAACTATTTCAAATGAACGCAGTGTATACTTTTTCTGTCTATCTGGTACATGCTGTTCACCTTACAAGTATTAAATAGCCAAAAAAAGGGCATTCATTTCTTTCATTTTAAACATGTGTGCTCATCCGTAGTGTTTATTACTAAATCCCAGTCAAAGACTTATACCGAATAGAAACAGTACAATATTTCCAAACTGCAGAGAAACATTTAAGATGCTCAGGTGTCTGAGTCAAAGAGAAATTAAATTGTTTCAAGGTCACCAGTAAGTCATTACCAAAGCCAGGGTTAGAATTTAGTTTTCCTGAGGCCCAGATGTTTTTTGTTGTTCTTGCTTTTTCCCTCCCCATCAAACCACGCTGCATAATTTAGTGCACTATAGTATTTCAACGCTCCATAAAGTCTGAACTGTGACTTATACAAGATTTAAGGAGGAAAAAAAATGGCAAGTTAATCATTATCCATTTAACAGGTCCAAAAACACAAGTTAGAAAATAAAATAGTGTGGGTGAAGGCAGGAAAATGCATACGCAAGTGCTGGCTTTCGTTTTATCCTCCTTTTCTGCGAAGTGCTGTCAAATTAAAAATAGACATGAAAAGACACGCGTTCTTTTCTTGGACTAGAAAAACATCCCATTCTGTAGACCAGTACTATTATAAATGTAAATGGGATGAGAGAATAGATACCTATCTTCTCATTGATTAGCAGTCCAAATTTACCCCATGAATATATGTAAAACTAAGAAACCAAACTTTCCTATGCTTTGTAAGTATCATTTAAAAACTATTCATAACCTTTCTATGGGGTTTGAGAGAAGAGTTCACTTAAGAAAAAAAGAGAATGGTAAGATTAACTCTAATTGCTTCACTAGAAAATTTTATTCTTGGATACTTCTTACAAATCAGTATCAGGAACCATCTCCAAACTGCTCAAAGGGATCAAATAGATTTCATGAAGTAGAATGAACGTGCACGTGAGCATTAAAGGATTGGAGGGTACAGATCAGATGAGAGAGCCCCTATAGGTGAAGTTGCCTTGATGTATCCAGTCAGTTACACTGTTCTGTCCACGAGGAATGCAGATGATTAAGACAGAGTCTTGTTGCCAAGAGTGTTTAAGAAACAAGGACGAAGGGTGGAAGGCAAAGACTACACACATGAAACAATAAGAGAGCCTAGGGTACAAGGCACGTACACCAAACAGAGGAAAGAAAGCAAGGCTCTTGCTGAAGGCTCTGAATTCCAAGTAAGTTTGAACTTGGGCGATGAGACGTGTGGCCTATCTGGTACAATAGTCGACCCTGTTGTTCCTGCAGATATCCAACCAACCACCCAATATGCAAGTGAGGCCACCCAGGACCGGCCAGCCTCAAGCCAACCGGCCAAGCGAGCACCTGCCAGAGAGGTCAGCCAAGCCTAGACGAGACCAGAACTGAACAGCAGAACCCCTAACTGAACAATGCTGGCTGTTCTACGCCACTGAGCTTTGGGGTGGTTTGCCATGAAGCAAAAGCTAACTAACACATCAAATGACCACATCTCTAATCGTTACTGGCTTGCTGAAAAGCCAAGGTGTTGTGATGTGAGCTTTAAATACAGGGTGGGGCAAAAGGAGGTTTATAGTTGTGAGTCTGCGAACAGTTTATTCCTGTATTATTACTTATTAATGGAAGCATTATTTTTCATACGAACGACTGTAAGCCTCCTTTTGCCCCGCCCTGTACGTCTCATTTAATTCAGAGCAGCAGAGCCTGAGGGGCACGGGATGTGCGAACCAAGTGGGGAGGGACTGAAGGCCCGAAGGCCGGGGTCTGCA